ATGAGAAAGAAATCTTGGCTAATGAAGCTGCAGATTGGGAATGCATCAACGACACTACTGTATTGTACAGAAACACATTGCGTGAAGGCTCAACTTTTCCTTCTGCATACTCATTTGGTAAGAATCGCCATGGTGTTTTGCGATCAAGTATCATCGATGTACTTGAATCAACCTCAGTTTTTGGTTTCTGTAAACCGTTCCAACCTCTTCTATAAATATTGTTCTACTTGACCTTGTCCCTGTTAATTTCACACTTGTATATCGCATGCATGAGGTTATTTAGATGCCTTTAAACATTTTGGTGACAGATAGAGTGTACCGAGGTGAATGTCCAACTAGACAAGTTTATGAAGATGGCCCCAAGGAAGTTGCACTCTCGGTTGTCAAAGGAATTAACTGTAAGCTTCGTTTATTGTTGTAATGGGGTAGACCTTAATGGCATGGAAAGCTAAATGATATAATAATTATTGTTTCCCAGCTAGTATTTTCGCGTATGGTCAGACAAGCAGTGGAAAGACATACACTATGTCTGGTATTACCGAGTTTGCAGTGGCTGATATATTTGATTATATATTTAAGGTACTGCCAAAAATTAAGTCTGATTTTTCTCACACAGTACTTTGATATGTATTCTTCGTTTTCACTAATTGGACTGGATGCTGCAGCATGAAGATAGGGCATTCGTTGTGAAGTTTTCGGCTATAGAGATCTACAATGAGGCCATCCGAGATCTTCTTAGCCCGGATAGTACACCACTGAGGCTACGAGATGACCCTGAGGTGAAAGTTGCTGTTTTCTCCTTACTGCGAGTTCTTTTTGTTAATAATGTTGTGTGACTCTCTTCTCATGTATTTATTCTTCTTCCATTTAGAAAGGGGCCGTTGTTGAAAAAGCCACAGAGGAAACCCTGAGAGACTGGAACCATTTGAAGGATCTTATCTCTGTTTGTGAAGGTAGTAATCTCATATAGTCCACCTTTATTTTCCATTACAACTAACAAACTGATAGTTATGTAAGTTTGCTCCGGATTTACAACTCAGGTTGTTCTGTAGTTAGTGTTGTTTGAAAAATAACTCTGATCGTGTTTCTGTACTTCTTGATGTTCTTATTACAGCACAGCGAAAGATTGGTGAAACCTCATTAAATGAGAGAAGTTCAAGATCTCATCAAATTATCAAACTAGTAAATCTCTTTTCTATCACTGGATCTAAGGCACAATGATGTCCCTTTTCTATATATATCAGTGCCTAATCTAAATTGTTACCTTTTTGTAGACAGTTGAAAGCTCTGCTCGTGAATTTTTAGGCAAAGAGAACTCAGCCACTCTCATAGCAAGTGTGGTATGTATCATCTACTTTATCTATCTTTGGGACTCAAGGTTCAAAGCTTTCCTGATCATCCTGTTTGTGCTCATTGTTCCTTATGTGCAGAATTTTATCGATTTGGCGGGGAGTGAGCGCGCATCACAGGCCATGTCAGCTGGGGCAAGACTTAAGGAGGGCTGTCATATCAATAGGAGTTTATTGACTCTAGGAACCGTAATACGCAAACTCAGGTGTGGAAGTGATACTTTGGCTGACTGTATGACCGTACTATTTTTAACATGTGCCGTAGATCAATATTGACAAACAAAATTCGAACTTTACAAGCATCTATCTTTTTGAAACTTCACTTGCTTTAATTATAAAGACTGTCCACATGATGCAGCAATGGGAGACAAGGACACATCAACTATAGAGACTCCAAGCTCACACGCATTCTTCAGCCATGCTTGGGGGGCAATGCCAGAACCGCAATAGTCTGCACGCTGAGTCCAGCGAGGAGTCATGTGGAGCAGACTAGAAACACTCTCTTGTTTGCCTGCTGTGCCAAGGAAGTCACCACAAAGGCACAGATCAATGTTGTCATGTCAGACAAGGCTTTGGTGAAGCAGCTACAGCGTGAGCTAGCCAGGCTCGAGAGCGAGCTGAGAAACCCAGCCCCTGCCACCTCAAGCTGCGATTGTGGGGTTTCGCTGAGAAAGAAAGATCTTCAGATACAGAAGGTTTGTGCTTTTGTGAAACATCCAGAAGTTGTTTAAAAAATGTTTTAGAGGTTGGTTGATTTTTGGACAATTTTGGTTTATTCTGCAGCTGGAGAAGCTGCTTGCAGAAATGACAAAACAGCGGGATATAGCCCAATCTCGGCTTGATGACTTTATGAAGATGGTGGAACACGATGAGTCTTCAAAGGTATCTCAGTTCACTCGACAGTTTACCATTAAACTTTTACAGTTTGATAGCATTCTAGTTCATCCATTTGTTTTTTTTTATCTTTCAAAGGCTGGGGCTCCGCATAATCGTAACCGTACCAACAAGTGGGAGGATGGTTCAGTGTCAGAGACATCAGGAGTGGTTGATCCAGACAGGACCAGTTTCATATCAGATGGGACATCAACGCCTCTGTCAACTGCAAGAACTAAGGTTAGGTCTCACTCTGATGATGATCTGGAAGAGGAATTGTCGTCTGGTCGTTCAGGAGACCAATCAGAAGAATACTGCAAAGAAGTACAATGCATTGAGATGGATGATGAACCAACCAGAGACATTAACAACACCAGTGAAGAAACGACAGACGCAGAAACACTTTTGGGCCACAACACAGAGGCAGACGGTGGAATAGGTCTTGCTCAAAACAGGAATCCGTCAAGTGTTAGAAGTGTCAGGAGGAGAAAGAGTTGGAGCCGTGGAGATACCATGCCCGGCACAAGCACTCCTCCTGATGCCCTAGAGATTGACTACCCTGGAAGACCAGATGTTGACGGTATCGCGTTCCCTGATTTGGAGTTCGATTCTGGTGGGAAATTGTTGAGGGATGATTCAATGTCCTCTCGTGGAAGTGATTCCACTGAGGCTCACAGCGTTGGAACACCGTTGGTGGGGGAAGATGGAGGTATCACCAGCATCCGGTCATTTGTTGAAGGACTGAAGGAGATGGTAATAACCGTTAATAACTCTATCGATATATATAAGCTAGGTCTATCCATTTTTTGGGGTGGAATTATAGCTGTCGCTATATCCTTTCTACAAAAGATGCAACTTCTTATGTGGAGCTTTTTTTCAGGTTGACCCTGAGAATTCAAGGAAAATGGGGAAGGACATTGGTGTGGGCGCTATGGAGGAAGAGTTGTCTGGGACAATGACAAACTGGTCGGAAGATTTTGAGAGGCAAAGAGAACAGATTCTAGGTCTGTGGCAAACATGTCATGTCTCACTGGTGCATAGAACATACTTCTTCTTGCTCTTCACAGGAGATCAAGCGGATTCAATATACATTGGAGTAGAGCTAAGAAGACTTTCATTTATGAAAGAAAGCTTCTCTCAGGGAAACCATGCCTTTGAAAGAGGACAAACACTAACAGTAGCTTCAAGGTTAGTACTTATAGCGTTAGACTTTGTATCCGATGCAAAAAGCTAATGTTTGGTATTGCTGTAGTCTGAAGGCGCTTCATAGGGAGAGACGGATGCTAAGCAAGCTTGTCGGGAAGAGGTTTACTGCAGAGGAAAGGAAGAGACTTTACCAGAAGTTTGGGATTGCTGTGAACTCGAAACGCCGGCGGTTGCAGCTAGCGAATCAGCTCTGGAGTAAACCCAATGACATAACCCATGTGGTTGAAAGTGCAGCCGTTGTAGCAAAGCTTGTTAGGTTCGTGGAGCAAGGAAGAGCTATGAAGGAGATGTTTGGTCTGAGCTTCACGCCTCCGCTTCCAACAACACGGAGATCACTTAACTGGAGAAAAAGCATGGCCACGCTTTTCTAATTCTAATAGAGAGACAAACACGTTCATATAATGGTTTTTGAGAGTTGTATGTGTAAATCTTCTAGGTGCTGGTGTTTGATGAAAGAGATTGTTAGATGTTTCTACAGCTTAAGATGAATCTCTCTTTTCTTTATTTTTGGTTTGATGGGGTGTTTGATTTGTAAACTGACATTATCTCATTCTGATGTTTTTTCTTCACTATGATATTCAATTTCTAAACACTATCGTGTTAGTTTTTTTAAAACAGCTATGCTTTCTAGTTTCTACAATGTAAAACAACATGAATTACTTCTGGATTGGTATAAAACACAATTATTGTAAAACTGAAAAACCCAAATTCCATCTAAAAGTTGATTTTATAGGGATGCAGAAGATGGAATCCAGAGTCCAACTACTCAAAAGTCAAAATAAAAACAAGAATAGAAATATCAAACTCAAGAAAACAGAGGTATTGAGCAGTGTATGATCATCACCAGGAGCTATAAAGGATAAAGGCAAATTTCTGTCAAAATCAGGCTAAATTTGCAGAGAGCAACCTATGATCATAGTCACCAATTACTCGATATGATATCTTGAGTTAACCTATGAACCTATTTACTCAATTTGCAGAGAGCAACCTATGAACTAGGTCTTTCTGAACTCTCTCGTCTTATGCAATCTAATTCAATGAATCGAAAGAGTTCTTGACATTTTACAATGTGATATCCAACAAGGCGGGTTTTCAAAATATCTTAAAACACTCAAAATCTGAGAGTCACTACTATTCTTTAAAGGCAAATCTTGCTAACCTACATTCAGCCATCCATTTATCCGAACAAAACACGATACTATACACACACATTCATACCAAAGCATCAAACGTGGTTCAGTTGCATCATCTTCCTATATAACCAAGACAACAATCTACAAGTTTAAGGCTCTCAGTGAATCTCTCTAGTCACAGAGAGAAGAACAAGCCAATCAACTGATCAAGGACGACACTAATATCTTTAGCATATATTATTTCACACACTCTTCAAGTTTGAACAAAAGCTGGAATAAACCATAAACCACTCAACAATCCTGTGCATAAGTTAGCATTTGCAAAACCAAAACTTATTAATTTCCGTGTAATTTGGAATCTGCACCAAAAAAGCTATGGATTCTTATCTCAAACGAAGCCACAAGAGGAAACATTTTAAGCCTCTAAATCACAATGGAGTTGAAACAGAAAAAAACAGAGACGAGTTTATACTCATTGATTCATGATTGAGAAGTATACAAACAGTTTTAAATTTTTAAAAACACCATTAAAGGCGACATTTTTGTTGGCAAACAAGAAAGAAAAAAATAAAAAAACCCTAACAAGAGAAAAGATTCAGATGAGCTTGAAAGGGAGAGGCCAAGGAGTAGACCTGGGAACCTCGAGCTTGTCTTTGATTCGCTCAATCATCTTCTGCTTCTTCCCTCTCGAATTCCCGTACGATCCTTTGAATCTTTTCCCTTTCTTCGTCTTCTTATCTCCTCTCCCGCACAAATCCATTTCAGATGCCGCCGGAGCTGCAGACGCCGGAGATAAAGAAGAATACTTCGCCGTACAAGTCAATGCCGCAGATGTCCGCTGCGTCATCATGATCCGTCGTGTCATCGCGCCGCACCACAGCATCGCCGCCATCTCTCTCTCTCTCTCACTCACTCACTCTCCTCCTCTCCGTCCTCAGACTTCAATCAAAGACTCTAAAACACATTGGGTTCATTCATGGGCTAGAAATTAGGATAAATGGGCCCTTAATAAAGCCCATCAATAGCCTCTTTAAGTTGTCTTGTTGCAATACGTAAATCTGTCTCCACCACTCACAGTTACTCACGTATACGTATATCTTTATTAAATGGGCCCTTAATAAAGCCCATCTCTCACTCACTCTCCTCTCAGTATAACAGACTTCGATGAAGACATTGGGTTCATTCATGGGCTAGGAGCCTAGGAATGAGGATAAATGAGCTATTAAAAGCCCATTAACAGCCTTTTAAGTTGTCTTGTTGCACACTCTCCTCTCAGTCTCTCAGACTTCGATCAAAGACTCTAATACACATTGGGTTCATTCATGGGCTAGGAATGAGGATAAATGGGCCATTAATAAAGCCCATTAATCGCCTCTTTAAGTTGTCTTGTTGCAATACGTATATCTGTCTCCACCACTCACAGTTAACGATCAGCTTCAGCGAAACGATGGAGCTTCTCTGCTCACCAACGTCTCTTTCCTCCTCCTTCGCTCTCTCTTCTGCTCTTTTCGTTCCTTCTCCGTCTTTCCCCGTACGAAATTTTGCGGTTTTCGCTTCTTATTGTGTGAAAAATGTGTTTTTGCTTCCAACTTATGATCAAATTTTTGATTTTTAGGTGTCAGGGACCAGGAGATTCATGGTTCTGTGTAGTTCCGAGAATGCCCAGAAGGTACTTCATTCAAATTTCTACACTTTTTTCATAATCCCATTGCATTTATTATAGATTTGAACCAATGAAGCTATAAAAATGTGGGTTCTTTTAATTTCCCAGGAAAATCAGATGACAGTTTCAGTAACTGGAGCAACTGGATTCATAGGAAGACGATTGGTTCAGAGACTTCGTGCTGGTAAGATGATACACTAGTTGTACTGATGACGGTTTCAACACTAGTCGACTAATTTATGAGTTATACTGGCATCAAGTCTTGACACCAATATTTCAAATGTTTGTTCTGCAGATAATCAGTCTATCCGTGTCTTAACACGTTCTAAATCCAAAGCTGAGCAAATTTTTCCTGGTAAGAAGGTAATGAATGACTATTCTGCTTCTATTTTACTAGGGTCATATGTGATTGCTTATCGTATTACCAGTCTTTTGATGTGATTCATCGTGTTCTTTTCAGCCAAGGACTTCCCAGGTATTGTGATTGCAGAAGAACCGGAGTGGAAAAACTGCGTACAAGGATCCACTGCTGTTGTGAACTTGGCAGGACTGCCTATTAGTACAAGGTGGTCTCCCGAGGTCAGTTTCTTCTTACACCTTTCACAAAAGTTTGATGCTTGTTTTTTTCTCCACTGATATCTTTGCTTGCTTTTCAGACCAAGAAAGAGATTAAGGACAGCCGGATCCGTGTCACCTCTAAAGTTAGTGATTACTGTCTTTTTTTCATTGGATTGTGGCTCAAAGCTTCACATATTGAAGAGATTTCCTGATTAAATGGTTTCATTTTTTAAAACTACATTAAGGTTGTTGAGTTGATGAACAATTCACCAGCAGAAGCCAGGCCTACCGTTCTAGTTAGCGCCACGGCTGTTGGTTACTATGGTTTGTTACAGTCCTATATGCTGAGCCATCAAAGTTTGCATTCGTAAATCATGCCACAAAGAATTCTAATGCTCTTTAAACTTTCAGGTACTAGTGAGACAGGAGTATTTGACGAAAATAGTCCATCGGGGAAGGATTATCTTGCAGAGGTAAATGCCCTAGAATACATTTCCTTGTAATTTCTGAATCATTTTGTAGTTTAGATCCTGAACAATCTGTACTTATTAGTGGTGTTAGATGTCGATCTAACTCCATGTTCAACGAATTTGCTTCGTAAATGAAACATGTATTTGTGATCTTAGGTTTGCAGAGAATGGGAAGGAACTGCATTGAAAGCAAATAAGGATGTTAGAGTGGCACTTATCCGCATTGGTGTTGTTCTTGGCAAAGATGGTGGAGCTTTGGGTGCGTATTCTCTCTCGCTCTTACACGCTAGTGAAATTTGTTTGTGAAGGACTTAGATACTCGACCTGATCATGCAAAGTATTTTTTGTGCTTTGTAGCCATGATGATACCCTTTTTCCAAATGTTTGCTGGAGGACCTCTTGGTTCAGGACAACAATGGTAAAAGTTTGATACTTTTCTGGTTATCTCTTGCAGGCTCTGTGATTTTGATGATCATTCTTTCATAATTCGTTGTATAGGTTCTCTTGGATTCACGTTGATGACTTGGTGAACTTAATTTACGAGGCCCTCAGTAATCCATCCTACCAAGGTTACAACATACATGTCCTTTATGTTACCTCTTAAGAATAGGTTATGGGCTAAAGCATAATGCTATTGTTGCTGGTTGTTGTCAGGAGTAATTAATGGGACTGCACCGAATCCTGTTAGGCTTGGGGAAATGTGCCAGCAGCTAGGCAGCGTTCTTAGCCGACCATCGTGGCTACCAGTTCCTGACTTTGCACTCAAAGCTTTGCTCGGAGAAGGTGCCACTGTGGTTCTGGAGGGACAGAAGGTCTTACCTGTAAGAGCCAAACAGCTTGGCTTTGAATTCAAGTACAAATATGTGAAAGATGCACTCAAAGCCATTATGCAATAAGGTGACACATACTGGCTACCGCACCATTGTACCCTTGGATTTGGTCACAGAGAAACAAAAGAGATTCTTTGCTTTTCGACTCTATTTCTTTTTTATTGAGTAAAATTAGGGATATATGTATGATCTCAGAAATTAGAGATCTCAGATGTGTTGAGGATACTATAACTCAGACATAAGATTTTTCTAATATATTGTTATCGATTCATAGGTTATTTTGCCAAATCACATGTTCAGAACCAAATCACAGGTACTCTTCTTCAGCCAATGAGTTCACCTGTTAAGCGCCAACCCTTCGATATTCATGTGAATGAGGTGCTGAGTCTTATATCATGCAGCAAGAATATATAAGAGCAGAGAACTGTTTAAAATGGCACTGAATCTGATTAAGAAAACAAACCTAGTCAAGACAAAGCCAGAGATTTATTAACTTATTCGTTTTCCTTTTAATTCGAGGCACTAGTCTTTATAATACACAACATGAGGGGGACATAAATAGATTGAGCAGACTCATTGTGTGAGTTGATCAACCCCTCAATGAATACTTCTTCCCACTGAAAGCTTGAAACTTAGGCTCATCTTTCTTTTCTTGTTCTTCTTGTTTTGTCTCTTTTCCAGCTTCAACCTGAAAAGGTTAATTAAGAGAGAAGCAATCATAGGCATATGCCTCTCAGTTCCACTGCAATATCTGTTTTACCATTAATGAAGAAAGTTTTTATAAGTACCTTAGGAGCAGCCTCTTTTGGAGCACGGTTTGAGTTGGACCCAAACACAAGTTTTCCTTGAGCCTGTCGTGCAGCTTTCTCTGAGCTACTTGCTACAGATGACTGTCCATTACCATTAACAACAACAGGCTGTTTGTCTTTTGAGGTAGAGGCAGGTGGTGGCTGATAGGCAAGAGGTCGCCCATCTAACCGTCTTCCAGATCCCGTGAAAGGGTTGAACTTTGGTTCAGGTTCAGCCACAACCTCCTCAGCTGCAAAAAAATTTGAAACAAAAAAAACACACATGAAAATCCACATGAGACTAAAAGGAAATCCATCTAATGATCCCATGTCCATGAATAAATACCTTTTGCCGGACCTTTGGCTGCAGCAGGTGCTGTGGGACGTTCAGGCTCCTTGTAGTCAAGCGGAGGTGCGAAATCAACCTCACAGTCTGTTTCTATGATGCTTATTCCGTTAGCAGGCTTTGTTTCAACTATATCTATAAAATATTTCTTGTTGTTGTATGGAACCATAATGCTATCCCCAGTGGTTAGGCATGAGTAATTCCTCAAAGCAGTCTCCAAGCTGCAACGTTCACTCATTCATCAGCAAGACAAACCGAAATATCGCGAGCAAACAGAAACAAATGACAACAGATAACCATGAGACAGAATACAATAAGAACTTCAATATAATAGATACTCTACCCAATAATGAACATGATATGGTTGAAAGATAACTAAATGAGGGCTAATACGATAGAAATAAGTTGGACTCACATGGCTTTCGGGTTGGATATATCCAGGAAGTCTTTCGTGTGAGGCTGTAGTCTAACATAAGTTCCCTTTGGAAGAGTGACATTCCTAACCCTCACAATGTCTCCTTCTTGCAGCAGTAGATTCTGCATCATCTGGATTAGATCAAAAAAGCAAACAATTAGTTTGGTAATGCTGCATGATCCCGAGAATCTCAATTGACAATCAAAAAGGAAACTGATACAAACCCAGTATGGCATGTAGATCATGCCTTCTTCGGCAATGAACTCAAGGACCCCACAGTGAGAAACACGTTCAATTCCCGCATTACGAAGCTCAAACAGCATTGGATAGTCGATATGCAAAGAAGCTGTAAAGTTTCCCCAATATTAGTAGTGCTATAATATTTTTCTAAGTTTAACATATTAAACCAAATCCAAAATATGAAAACAGTGGGAGCATACCTAGACGATCAAGGGCTGATGGTGGCATTATAACTGAAATAGAATTGACATAAATAAAACTTCAGGCTTAAACAATATGATGAAAACAAACAACGGTGTCTAGATATAAAGACTTACTCTTGTCACCACTTTCAATTTGTGGCTGCAGGACAAGAAAAGGATATAGAAATTAGAAATTAGAAACAAGAAAACAGAAATCAGGTATACAGAATTTTGATTTTGAATCTGAAAAATTGTTGCAGAACATGTAACTATAGAACTCCTAGATTCACCTATCAGGGCATTAACTAAACGTAGAGAGAAGGAATCAAACCTTGTCAATAAAAGATGCCGGATAGCAGCGATAACTCTGCTCAAAGGTGGTTCCATGATAATGATATCCATCGAAAAACTGCACAAGTTTCAAAGGTTTAGAAAAACCAACATGTAAGTGAATACTAAACTTGAATTAACGGTTAAAACTGAAACCTTTAAAGACGGTTAAAGAAGAAACCTTTGAAGACACACTTACCATAGTTTTTTGGAGGTAGACAAATAGAATAAGTTAACTAAGGCAATCACCTGTAGACCTACCAAAAAAGAAACGTCACACAAGTCAATAGGAAGAGATCCAAATCAGAAAAGGTATAAAGGCACTATTCAATTTTAGGGTTTCATAAATCAAATTATGGGCAACAATTCTGAGCAGCAGGAACATCAAATCCGGTGGCTTTGACAGACTTATATCAAAAACCTAAGACTTCAATTTCGAATCTCAGCAGCAGAAAAGAAACCTAAAAATTCGAAGAACCATCTCTACAACTCGAAAAATCAAAGCTTTTGACACAAAACCCAGTAAGATCCTCGGAAACCTACTCCTATACAACTCACCTTCACAGAAAAATCCGATCACAAATTCTGCTATTTATCGAATAAAGAGTGAGATCGATACAAACAAAACCAAAGCTAAAAACTTTTGAAACATTGAAAGCTCTCCTTGAGATTATCAGAGAGATAAAGAAGACCTCAAAGACTACCGATTGAGCTACCCGACCATTGAAATTACCTGCGAGGAAATTGTTCGATTCCGGACACAACAAACAAGTAAAGAAACTTGGTGACTCTGCGATAACGTTTCTTCTCCTTGTTGTTCTCGTATATATACCATACGGTGCGTATTGTGTCTATATCTAAATAAACAATATTGGGCTTAATAAATAAAATAACCCATTAGTTCTGAGTTACTTGTTGGCCCAGAAAGCCCATTAGCTCTGAGCTGCTTGTTGGCCCATATAGCTCATTAGTCTGAGTTACTTGTTGGCCTATTGGGCCTAGAGCACCTTTGAGGAGTCACGAATGGCTTCAAAATTAACGTGTGCGCTACCAAAAACGCACAGTGAGAAACACTCAATCTGAGGAGATATTTACCCAATCAGGATTCAGGAGAGAAGCAAAGAGCAGAAGAAGAAGAAAGAAATGGAGATAACACTGAACAGTGGCTTCAAGATGCCGATCGTCGGCTTAGGAGTATGGAGGATGGAGAAAGAAGGGATTCGAGACCTTATCATCAATGCTATCAAGATCGGCTATCGCCATCTCGACTGTGCTGGTACTCTCTCAGACCTAGACCTTTTGTTTCTAATTTTTGTTGTTGCTTCAGATTCTTTGTATTGGGTTTGCTTTTACTTGTCTAAAGCTTAAATTTTTATAAGAAAAGTTCTAAGATTTGGGTTTTTTTTATAGTCTGTAGACTTGTTATCTGAAGTGAAATACTCTCTGTAGATCTTTATTTGCATCTGATGCTTGATGCTTCAGTATATGGAATCATTGAAGGATCTATAGTAGATGATTCTTCTTTGATAGCTTTTTAGTTGTTAGTGTTCTGTGTCTTTATTTTGGGAGCTTTATGAGTCTTTTGCATCTTTTGTTTATGCTTACATCTTTTGGCGTGTTCGTGTTCTATTCCATGCTGCAGCTGATTATAGGAACGAGGCTGAAGTTGGTGAGGCTCTTACAGAAGCATTCAAGACTGGTCTGGTCAAGAGGGAGGAGCTCTTCATTACAACCAAGGTCAAACGAAACCATATATATCTAATTCTGTTCGGATAATGAACAAGTGAGGAAGCTCTGAATTCTGAATCTTTCTTGGTTTGGCAGCTATGGAATTCAGACCATGGCCATGTTATTGAGGCGTGCAAAGACAGTCTCAAGAAACTTCAACTTGATTATCTCGACCTTTTCCTCGTTCATTTCCCCGTAGCAACAAAACACACTGGTGAGACCTCTGCGTTGTTCACGTGTAAATTAGTCTTGAGTAGAGACCATTGCATTTTGATTTTATTACAAATCCCACTTTTTCACCGGCTGTAATCAAGTTTCCTGAAGTCTTTGGCAATTGGTACAAATCATATAATAAGCTGTAACATATTACTGATGTAAGCCTTCCCCCCTCGCTCTATGTGATTGCAGGAGTTGGAACAACCGATAGTGCTTTGGGTGATGATGGGGTATTGGACATCGATACAACAATCTCTCTGGAAACTACATGGCATGACATGGAAAAGCTTGTTTCTATGGGTTTGGTCCGCAGCATAGGAATCAGGTTCAACATTTCTCACTATCTTAACAAGTCCTTTTATATTACTGGCTGATTTCTGACTTGTTGACCATTTGGTTGTTTGCAGTAACTATGATGTCTTTCTAACGAGAGATTGCTTAGCTTACTCCAAGATCAAGCCTGCAGTGAATCAGATCGAGACACATCCTTACTTCCAACGTGATTCTCTTGTCAAATTCTGCCAGAAGCATGGGATTTGTGTCACCGCTCATACTCCTCTCGGAGGTGCCACAGCCAATGCTGAGTGGTTTGGCACTGTGTCATGTCTGGATGACCCAGTTCTCAAAGTAAGTCCCATCCTCCAAACCTTAAAAATTTGGATTGAAACAGTTAAAGAGTGGACCTTTGACAGCTAATTAAATTGGACTGGTTTCACCTGAATCCTTAGGGTGTGGCCGAGAAGTACAAAAAGACAGTGGCACAGGTTGTGCTGAGGTGGGGAATCCAGAGAAACACAGTGGTGATACCAAAGACATCGAAGCCCGGGAGACTGGATGAGAATTTCCAGGTTTTCGATTTCGAACTCTCTAAAGAGGACATGGAATTGATCAAGAGCATGGACAGGAAGTACCGTACAAACCAACCAGCCAAGTTTTGGGGCATTGATCTCTACGCTTGATCACAATCTCTCGCCCTATCTATATGAATAAATGAAGCTTGAAAAGATAAACAAGATGAAGAAGGAAGCCATTAAGCTTTACTGCAACATTCTCAAATATTTGTGAGCCTATCTTATTATATAAACTCATGTCAAACAGATTATGATTTCCTTAAGTCCATTATCACATATTTGATGAAAAACTAATTTTTTTATCCTAAACATTGGAAACAAAAAAAAAACATTTAAAACGCACAACTGCAAGAGGGGAATGAAAAGACGAGAATGACCTTGATCTTTGTTCGTATTGAAAAGCATTACGAAGAGGGTATTTTGGTAAATGAGTACATTTGAGCTTCGCCTACAGACAGACACCATCTCTCTCGCTCTCTCTCTCTATCTCTCTCTCTCTCTCTCTTTCTCCTATAGATCTTTCTTCTGGATCGATCAATCAATATCCATTGTTTCTTCCTCAGAAGCTCCACAGATTCGTAAGCCATTTTTTCAGTTTGATTTCGTTGTTAGTCTAAGTGCTGTTCCCAAATTTTGAAAGTGTTCTTTCTCTAGGGTTTTGTAATTTCAATTCTGTCTCTTGTTCCTTTTTTTGTTTTTTTTTTGGGTGAAATTATTTTGTTGTTCTTGTAAGCTTCAGATTGATTCGACCTTGTAATATGCGCTCTTATATTTTTCGTAATTGATCTTTGGGTTCTGTATCTGACGCATTTAGATTGATTTTGAGATATTATTCTGATTACGGAACCCTAACTCATTTTGGTATTATTCTGATTACGGAACCCTAATTGGGAAGACTATACTAATTTTGAATCCGAGATTCTGAATTTTTTCTCTTTGACGTTGAAAATTGTTTAGATTCTTAATGGCTGTGATGATTTGAGAGGTTATAAGAGTTAAGGAGTGATGACTTTGTTTCAGAGATCGATCGAATCACAATTGTTATTAAAATGTGGTTTCGCTATTGCTCAGTGTCTATGAGAATCTTGAAAAGTTTTTTCTTTTCTGTTGGGCTATTTCTGTTTTTGAAGAGATATAGAGGATGGAGAATGGTGGTCAGTATGATAATGGAAGGTTCAAACCCGATTACTTGAAAGGTGCACAATCTATGGTAAGCCTTAAATGGTTTATGGTTTCTTCTGATGTTTTGTTTAGTGTGATTGTAGCTAATACAAGACATGGATGTTTGTTTTACAGTGGAATATGATGCCTCAGCATCAGATTAAGGAACAACATAATGCGTTAGTGATGAATAAGAAGATCATGTCTATCCTTGCTGAGAGGGATGCAGCTGTACACGAAAGAAACCAAGCTGTCTCTGCGAAAAAGGAAGCAGTAGCGGCTAGGGATGAAGCGCTTCAGCAACGGGACAAAGCTCTTTCTGAGAGAGATAAAGCCTTGATAGAGAGAGACAATGCTTATGCTGCGCTTCAACACCATGAAAATAGTCTCAACTTTGCTTTGTCGGGTGGGAAACGCGCTGATGGAGATGATTGTTTCGGTACTGAAACCCACAAGCTTGCAGTCTTCCCTTTATCAACTATTCCTCCTGAGGTGACCAACACGAAGGTGAACAAAAGGAAGAAGGAGAACAAACAGGGACAAGTAAAGTTGAAAAAAGTGGGTGAAGATCTGAACCGTCGAGTTGCTGCTCCTGGAAAGAAATCTAGAACAGATTGGGACAGCCAAGATGTCGGCTTAAATTTGGTCACCTTTGATGAGACAACAATGCCAGTACCAATGTGCACGTGCACAGGCTCTGCCCGTCAGTGTTACAAATGGGGAAATGGTGGCTGGCAATCGTCTTGCTGCACAACCACCTTATCGCAGTATCCCTTACCGCAGATGCCAAACAAGAGGCATTCTCGGATGGGCGGTAGGAAAATGAGCGGAAACGTCTTCTCGAGATTACTTAGCCGTTTAGCAGCAGAAGGATATGACCTCTCGTGTCCTGTTGATCTTAAAGACTATTGGGCTAGACACGGGACAAACCGTTACATCACTATCAAGTAGTCCTCTAAGGTCTACATAGTCCAAGTATGTTACTCTTATTTTCTTTTTTAAGGTTAGGTGCCGTCTTTGTCTGTATTGTCCATAGTTCGTTGTTGTTTATGGTAAAACGAAAATTATGTTAACTATCTTTTGAATGGGCATAAATGGTTTGGTATTTAGAAAAATCTGTTTTAATTTCAAAACTCAAATCTTAAACTGTTAAGATCACTAAATCTTCTACCCCTTTTAACAGCGCGAGAGAATATCTCAACTGCAGTTAACGTTGAAAAATCACATCAGTGATTTGGTCATTCACACTATTATTTTCTTTTTTGTTTTATAACCGAGAAAGAACAAAAAAAACAAAAACAATCGTAGCATGGACAAAGTGCCGGAGAAAGTCACAGTGGCGCAGATGGAGACCGAGTCGCAGCAAAAGCCATCAAAGATGCAGTGGCTCGCAGCCACAAGAGCCTTCTTGCAAATTCCTAATCCGGCGATCGTCAAAGTTTTCATCCTAAGCAGCTTGACTACGTTCACCTCAGGAATTGCCTTGGTCCTTGAATGGATCTGTCACGGAAAGAGCCACAACGGATTTGGGTGGATCCTCTACTATGCATTTTTCTTGATGGGTCTTCCTCTCCTCATCTTGATCGGTCTTATCCTCATGGCCATCTCTTCTTCAAGCTGTAGCTCAAATGTTCAGATTGTAGATACAGCCTCAAGCAAAAAGCCTCGCGTTGTGCAGAACCAGTGTACCGAGACCGAGACGAATCAACGAACTGAAGAGACGGAGAGAAACAGTTGTCGAAGCTTGCATGCCTTGCTCCGGATGACGAGAAGATGCCAAGGATAAAACGGGCGGTGTCATTCCCGTCGCATGGCAAAGTAAGATCATGTCGTACTCGTTAACAAAACAAAAACTAGGTAGATGTGGATCAAGAATCTAATAATCTCTTTGTGATGATATGTTGTTCTTCAGCATTGTCTTTTTTTTTGTCATTGATCAAACGATAATGATTTCTGAAAATTTTGAATTACATCTTTCTCTCCTCTTTAACAAAACAAAAAACTAGTTAGATGTGGTTCTAGTAATCAAGAATCTAATCATCTCTTTTGTGATGATATGCTGTTCTTCAGCATTTTGTCCTTTTTCTCATTGATCCAACGATAATGATTTCTGAAAAATCGAATTACATTTTTTTCATATGACAAAGTCATAACGATTCAACGAATTTATCGAAAAGTTCTTTCTATCGATTTATTTATTTAGGTTATTTTAGCTTGAACTTTAAATCAGTATTGTTTTTCTAATTTTTTTTTCACAAACCAAAATAAATGGATATGATATGTTTTCTATAGGAACGTGCACTCTTGTTCATCTTCCTAGTCCGGGCTTTAAAGCTTTCTATAGTTTTTACAAAGACACAACAGTTCTCACTTCACTTGTCGTACACCTGTGGCGGGCCTTTTACTGGACATGATGGCTACATTACTTTGTGTTCATGGCCCAAATGAGAGAGTGTGTTCGGTCACAAATACAATTTTTAAATTAGCCCAACAAACTAAAGAAACAAAAAAAAAAAGTTGTAAAATAACTTTAAATCGACTCCACCTAAACTAATCTCTATATTTGGTGCTACGACATTGGTCGTAAGGTAAATTTACTTTCTTTAAAGTGATTTACACAAAAATTAATAACTTTTGCCCAAATCTGGTGTATTTCAGTTGTAAAGAAACGTGTGGGAGTTAGTGAGTGAGTGTGAGCTGTGTGTGTGTGTGCGCAATCACTATGTACATAAATGATTAACTGTATTTAGAGTAACAAAATTTAATGAGTAAATCACACAATAATTGTAATTAGTTTAATTTCTTTTGTTGTTTTGACATATGTTGTCCATGCAAATCTAAATTAGTTAAAATAAAGACTCCTATAGTAAAGAAATATATATATCTATTTTCACCAAAAAAAAGGGAAATATATATCTATTATCTTATATTTCTTAATATGAGAAAAAAAAAATCTCACAACAACAACTAAGTCAATGACACTAACAAAGTAAAATAAATAATCATGTCAAACTTGTGCTAAAGCAGTTTTATTAGGAAAATAAAATGTGTCAAAACAACTCATAACCTTAGATTTGTAAATTTCCATTCTAGTACCCAAAAAGACAAATAGTTTTCTATTTCTTAAAAGGTTAAATATAATCTTACTTATAAAATAATATTAAAAGTATGAACATAAGACAAAGAGAGTTAAAAAAAAGGTAATCACTAAACCGTCAAACCATTATTAAACCGAAAAAGATGACTTGTGTCTTCAGAGCAGTATAAAAGGAGGCTTTGTGCAATCATCTGTCAATCAAAGCAAACAACACCAATCATTTTCTCAGAGGTTCTTTTGTGAAGTCTTGTAATAATCCACCACAAATCATCTTTTCATAAAGTTCTTTTGTCAACTCTTGTTGTGTATAGTTCATCAAAGATCATTTTTCTAAGAGGTTCCTTTTGTCAAACTTTTGCACTCCATTGTTGCAGCTAGCTGAGGTCTACTCTTTACTGTTCTATCTCTTACTCAAAGCTTCATTCTTTTTGATTTTGTTCTCCCCTCAAGTACAAACTGTTAACACCAATTTTAAAAATCTTGTTTGAGTTTGATAATTTTAACTATAGTTTTGGATTGTAGTTAACACTTTTATTTTTTTTCTCATTAATTTTATGGATTAAGTTTTTGATATCATATGTAAGAAAAGTGAGTGACTTTGTATCTTTTTGATATGTGTTGCAGAGAAAAGCCCATTGTTAACGATGAATGGACAAGGCAACATGGCTCCTTTAAGCATCCAGTATCAGAATCCTTTTCGCAACAACGATGATGATGCTGGCAAGAGAACCGATGTCTCGAAGTATCGTCAGGTCCCCCCAGTGTCTCGTTACCCAGCCGGGTCGCCGCATTTCAGCCCTGGACCACGGTTTACTCAGTCGTCACCTACCTTCTCCTACATCCCTCAGACCAGTCCTTCATCGACGTCCTTCCATACTTCATTGGCACATGTGTACCGCCCTTCTCCCTCTCCCTACCGTCCACCAGTGTCTCCTTCTCCCTCATCGTTCCGTCCACCGGTGTGTCCTTCTCCCTCGCCGTACCGTCCACGGCTGTGTCCATCTCCCTCCTCGTACCGTCCACCGGTGTGTCCTTCTCAGTTTGGTCGTGGTTCATTTCCTCATTCCAATCCCAAACCACAGTTGGAGACGCAGTTGATGCCTGTTATCTCCTCCACACCGCCACCCCCATCACATATCTACTACTCAAATATGTCGGTGTCTCAGCCGGCACCTGTCTACTCGTCTGTACCGTCGTCGCCAATGTCTTCCTCAATTTTGTCAATGACTCAACCATCGCCTGTGCTCTCGAACTTTCCATCGTCGACTGAGTACTATTCATCCTATCCGTCGGTGAGTAATATGGCGCCTGTGTTCTCCTCCTCACCGTCGTCGCCTATCTACTCCTCTAATATGCCGGTGACTCAGTCGAAGCCGGTGTTTTCATCTTTACTGTCGTCGCCTGATAATTCCTCATATTCGCTGATGAACCAGTCCAACCATGTGTCTACGTTGTCCCTTGTCGACTACTCAGGTTCCCAAGGGACTCAGCCAGGGCATGTGTCCTCATCCATACCGTCATCCCATGTCCACTCCTCAATGTTGTCTTCTCCATCTTTAGCCTGTGGTGAACCACTGCTGCCGAGGTACCCTACTCCTCCTTCATCACATGTGGATAATAGAGTCTCTAACATGAGGTTTAGCCAAAACCCTTCTCCCTTGCCTCCTCTGGTCCCGGTGAGGAAGTTTAAGAGTGGGCCGACGACTATTTCGGGTGTGAAGAGAAGAGCAGGCAAAGAGATTGATCCTCGAACCAGACACTACCAGAATGTTCCAATGGATAGTTGTTTCAATGACATGATAAAGACATCTCTTTCTCCTCAAGTGAATTTTCCGGTTGATGGAAACGGAGGATATTCTTCTTTAAAATCCAAGACGTACGCGCAAAGCATCAGGGAGATTGAATCTCATGAGGATAAGAAAAAGAAAAGGTAAGGCACCCTGGTTGCGTGACTTAAACTATGAATGTTTTTTTTTGTTTTAATCATATGATATGTATAGTTTTGTGACATTTTTTTCAATATGTTGGATGCTCTTTAAGACTCCTTGCAAACCGAGAGTCAGCTGCACGTTCAAAAGAGAGGAAGGATTCCTACGTTGCTTCTTTGGAACGCAGGATTATGTCTCTCCAGTCCGAGTACAATTCATTATATCATACCGTCACTGTTTTGGAGGTAGAGACATATATCACATCTATTTTTTCTATGTCTAAACGTACGGTTAGTATAAGAAATTTGTGTTGTTGTTGCATGTTCCAGAAAAATAAAGCGATGACGATGCAAGAGATCAAGCAAATGCAACTTCGAATTCAATATTTAGAAGACATGAAGCTAATTCGTGATGGTACATTCCAACTAAAAACTATACAATAAGTTTAAACTAATTCCTATGTTGTTACAATAGCCTTAACTGAATAAAGAATTGTGTGCAGAAATCTCAATGCTGAAGGGGGAATCAACCTTGAGTGGACAAGAGAGCGTAGACGCTCAACGGCTTAAGGAGGCAATAGTCGTGAACCAACAGATGTCTGCAGAAATCGAGAGGTTAAAGTTGGCTGCAGTTAAGGTGAATCAGGTGGTGCCAAATGATCATGATGACCAATGTGAAGGATCAAACATGCAGCCACCCGACCCAAACATGGTCCAGCAACTCAACGTCAACCAGTTCAACCAGTTTAATCAGTTCAACCAGTTCAATCAGTCGGAGCCAAACTTTGATTTTGATGGACAGACCTAAAGAAGTTGAAGTGGCTATGACAAAATCTTATCTGACCAGAGATTTTTAAAGTTCTGGTTTTTATTTTATTTTAATTAAAGTTGTTTCAGTTCTATTATCTCTAGTTTATTCCGTTTAGGGTCATGTTAAGATTAACAAATCTATCTCAAATCTCAATATAGAGAGAGTAATAGATATGATTGTAACCGTGTGAGGGGTTCAGAGTTCAGACAATGTGACCTTTGTCAATTTCTGTTTTGTTTTATCCAGTTCTCTGTTTTCTTCAATAAAGCTGTGTCCTTTATTTTATTTTTATTTTGATTTATTTTTGGGGTTAAATTTCATAAATAGATGAGAGTGGTCTTCTCGGATGTTCCTTTTTCCGACCAGTGGATGATTGCTTTGGTCAACGTTTCAGTCATATTTACTTCCTTATTTGCGCCATTGATTTTGGTGAATAGAAGGAAAGATATACACAGAGAGATAGAGAGATAGATACGCTCCCAAGTCCCAACCATATCTTTCTCCTTCAGGTCGATTCCTTTCTTTCTTTCTTTCTTCTTCTAAACTTTGGTAAAGTCATTTATTGTGCGTTGATCTTTGTTTCAAAGCCTCCATTTTTATAGGTCCTCTGAGCTCACAAAGGTTCCACCTTTTCAATAGGGTTTTGATTCTTTCATCAAAAGTTTGTGACTTTTTTGGTTTTGGGGTCAGAAATCGAAGAAGATACCGCAAATGGGTGGTGGTGGTGATACAGATACCAATATGATGCAGAGGGTTAATTCTTCTTCCGGTACATCGTCTTCTTTGATCCCTAAACAGATAAGCTCTAATCTTCACTTGAATCCTGCTCTTATCCGCTCTCAGAACCACCACTTCCGACAGCCTTTCACCGGACCTCCGCCGCCGATCCCACCTGTTTCTCCTTACTCTCAGATCCCGGCTACTTTACAACTTAAACATTCTCGGTCTATGTCTCAGCCCTCGTCTTACTTCTCTTTTGATTCGTTGCCGCCGTTGAATCCTTCTCCCCAGCCGGTTCCTGTGTCGGTGGAGGAAAAAAACGGTGTCGGGTTTAGTCCTTCGCTGCCTCCGTCGCCGTTCACCATGTGTCATTCTTCTAGCTCTAGGAACGCCGGAGATGGAGAGAATCTACCGCCGAAGAAGTCTCATAGGCGTTCGAATAGTGATGTTACGTTTGGGTTTGGTTCAGTGATGGCTCAGAATCAAAAGACTCCTCCTTTGGTCCCTTCGAGGTCTTTGGAGAGATCCATCTCTGGTGGGAAGGTTTCAGACTGGTCTAATTTGGTGAAGGAAGAGCCAAGAGAAGGCTTTGCCAAGGCAAGAAAATCAGAGGGTGAAGCAGCTATGGATGATGTTTTCACGGCTTATATGAATCTTGATAACATTGATGTCTTGAATTCTTTTGGGGGTGAAGATGGGAAGAATGCTAATGGGAATGTGGAGGAGATGGAGAGTAGTAGAGGTAGCGGGACGAAGAAGACGAATGGGGGAATTAGTAGTGATTCGGAAGGAGAAAGCAGTGCGAGTGGGAATGTGAAAGTTGCTGTGAGTTCCTCTTCAGGGGTGAAGAGAAGAGCTGGCGGAGACAATTCTCCGAATACTAGACATTTCCGCAGTGTTTCTATGGATAGTTCTTTCATGGGGAAGTTGAATTTTGGTGATGAATCATTGCTTAAGCTTAACGGTGAGTTTACTGAAGCTGAAATGAAGAAGATTGCAGCCGATGAGAAGCTCGCTGAGATTGTTATGTCTGACCCTAAGCGTGTAAAAAGGTAATAAATAGTGGTGTTTCTTTACACTTTTTGGAATTGTTGTTGTTGTGACATGACTGTTTGATTCAACCATTTCATTAGGATCTTTGCGAATCGTGTATCTGCTGCACGCTCAAAGGAGCGGAAGACACGCTATATGGCAGAGTTAGAACACAAGGTGCAGACTCTTCAGACCGAAGCTACTACCTTATCGGCTCAGCTCACACATTTGCAGGTAATTAAAGGCAACTCAAACTGTCCTGTTTGAATAAGTCAATAGTCTTATCTTGTTTCCTTTGGTGTTCAGAGAGATTCAATGGGATTGACGAGCCAGAACAGTGAGCTGAAGTTTCGTCTTCAAGCTATGGAGCAGCAGGCACAATTACGCGATGGTAGGCACATTAGATCATCAAATTCCTCATTCTCTATATTAGGGTGGCTTAGTTGCTTTTAGGGTTGTTCTGTTTTCGAACTCATGGAATCAAAGCTAGTATCATGTCCTTCACCTAATTGTTCGTTTTACTTTCCACCAATGATTTTCTTCAACATTGAAAACTTTCGTTTTCCAGTTTATGCAGCCCTAAGTAGGAAAAATTTATTTATCCTAGCTAGAGGCTCAATAATGTCTTGTTTCATTCACTCTATGAAAAGCTTTGATCTTTCTTAGGAGAATCTAGCCACTACATTTATTGATCCTTGTTCAGTTATCCTAGAGAGGTAACATTCCATTTTCCTTGTTTGGCAGCTCTGTCTGAGAAACTGACTGAAGAAGTCCACCGCTTGAAACTGGTGATTGGGGAGCCGAGCCGCAGACAAAGTGGCATCAGCAGCAGCGGAACTAACATATCAAAGACATCGCTAAACCCGGAGATGTTTCAGCAGCTAAGCATCAGCCAGCTACAACACCAACAGATGCAGCATTCCAATCAGAATAGCACCATGAAAGCGAAGCACACCTCAAACGAATAGGGTAAGTACTGGGATTTGCAGCTTCAAGTTATATATATGATAAGAAACTTATGTGCAGAGTCTGTAAGTGGTCTTCTGTTGTTTTGGTCATTTTTATACACAGTTAGGATTTTTTTATTTTCCCCTTTGGATTTTGGATTTTAATTTTCTATGAGACAGTTCTTTAATAAGGGTTTATATATATTTACTGAATCTAATCTTATATTTGATCTATCTTATTTTGGTTGCTGTTAAAAATCTTATATTTGAAACTGAAACTCAAACTGCTTAGACCACTCTCCAGCATCTTCATATATATCCTCCTTTTGTCTTTGAAACATGATCTTACGACCCTTTGATTGAAAATAAGAATGTGAGCTTCAATATGGATGGATACTAGCCTACTCGGGGATGTGATGGCTTAACATAAAAGAAGAAATTTCGAAAAGAGCATACCAACTTGTCGAAAATACAAATTGTGATTTGTGAGAACAAATGAGGTTGAGGAAGAAGAAGCTCAACGATTCAAGAGTAAGAGCATACCAAATTGACCATCATCGAAGAAGAAACAATCGTGCAAACAAATGTGCTTGATGACAATACACGTACATGTTAGATTCAAACGTATACCATGATAAAAAATTATATTACTGTACCTACATGTGAATAGAACTGCTTTTAATTTATCACAAATCTAAAGCCAACAAGATTTGGATATAGATTATATTCAAATCCCATGTACACACAGACTAAATTAAGATACAAATATTATTGATTAGAGTAGGTGGTTGCACCTTCTAATAAATCAAATAAATAAAACGTGTACGGAAGGGGACGAAAACGATAGATTCTGCAAATTTGTAAAGCAACTCTCATCCAATTGACTCTCACATCTAAGCCATCTTTGTCTTCTACAGCTTTTCTTCTGGTCCATTCATGTTCCATGTTCATTCATTTTCTTCAAGTATCAGCCAATATTAATTTTCTGAGAGAGATCATATAGATATGAGCGTTAATTAAGCAGACTAGTTGCTATCGTATACAAACATATCATTTGTGGCTAGTAGATAAAGGCAAAGAGGGTAGACAATGCAGAGTAGTAGTTAATGGAGTAGTAGTTAATATGTCGATAAGATTATGTAGAGTACTGAATGCACCAAGTAGCTAGTAAATACTAGAGACAATGCTTTGCTTTACCTACGATCTTTGTTAATACTTTGCTTTTCTCACTAGAGACAATAAACTTTTAAAACTCTTTGTTCATTAATTCAAATGGTCCCATATGTTATCATGCATCGATCTATTTAGAGTCTTTAGAGAATGGGAAGCATTTCAAGTTTTGTAGTAAATGCTTTATTATACTTGTGCAAAATATAAGATTTTCAAAGCCTAGATATTAACCCGGAAATTAAATGATAATCTAATGAAATACTACATTGATTTAGTATCAAACTATCAATAGACTAAATAGATTTGATTGATAAATTTTGTTCCAATGAAAAAGAAAATATAAGAAGTACATATTAACAGTATAAAAATCTACGAGTAGGTAGTTCTTATATATTATCCCAAGTCATATTACTCAAATTTATTATAGCCTGAGGAAAATAAATTAGGTTTACACCTCAAACCCTTGAATGTGAAACACAAACATATATAGGGTGCTACACTTAGGAATTAACAAACTAAAACCCAGGTTTGACATCAACCACACAAAAGGGTAGATCATCATAGGTTTATAGTTCGGAAAAAAAAACACTTTGGAATCACAATATTATTCATCCAAAGGTAACAAAAAAATTGATATAGTATATATAAGATCTTTCTTTGTCTCCCACTCTCTCATCTGATCATGGATGTTAGAGAGCGGAAGACAACTTCTTCACAAGGAATAGTGAGTCCCATGTCATGACTGAACCCAAACTCTTCCTCTGCCTGTTGAAGCAAGCTCTTGAACTTGGGATGAGTCAAGAAGGAGATTGGTACGATGTAACGGCTCCTCTTTTCTCCCACATAGACCGCAAAATGACCCTTTGGTACGTCTACAGGCAGGCCATCCTCGTCATAGCATTGGTTCTTGGCCAAGCTCGAGCATCTCTTGAGGATTTGCTTCAGCATTGCTGCCTGTGCTAGCTTTGATGATCTCTTTATCGCCATACCGTGGTAGCTTGTTATTATTGTTTCTTGAAAGGAGAAGAAGAAGAAGAAGGTGTTGTAGATGGCGGAGAGAAGTGAGAGATGGTGAAAGGGTTATTTATGGCGGAGAATGAGGATGGGGATGTGATGCTAGCTTACACCAATATTTCAATTTCTTCCTTCATTATTCAAAAAATATCAAATATATATTGGTCAATTTTAAAATTATAAAAAAAACCAAAAACAAAATGGTCAATTTATATGGATTCGTCCACTAGTGATGGCAACAAAAATAAAACTACATAGAGGGTAACTCAAACTACTCTATAATTTTTAAATTTCTTTTCATGGATGCAAACTATGTTTTAGACCTTATGTGTTTTCTTGATTTACCAACAAACTTGTTGTCATATGATCAGACCCGCTCCTACGAAAACTATACACTAAACATTGGTCAACTTTTACTTTTCAAGCAATATGGATATATTGCCGTTTAAGACGACTCTTTTAAAATCCTAATAAAGAATGATCTACCACTCCAATGAATTTTCAACAAACCCATCAATAATTTGAGAGTAAAATTAATGATCTCATTCAAACTTTTAATATAAAGACCCATATTTAATTTTGTGTGTATACAAATATATATCATCAACTACTTTTGGTCCTCCCTCATCTCTTCACTCTCTCCTATTCTACATTTTATATTAAGTAGAAATATATAAAAATGATACTATATCATTTGCTAACTAGATTTCATAATGAACCAAGGATATAGGTATACGTACTCAAAGTACAAACTAATATGTACTTACTATGTTTTCGTTACGTGCATAGTTAAAGAGTTGACGCCAAAGCATGCAATTATTACATTAATTACCTTTTAGCTTATGATGATATAAACCTTTTGTGGTCCATTAATATCCCATTCAAAAACAAGAAAGAACCCTCTAAAAAACACATTAATTCTAGCACATAAAACAAAACCTAAACGCAAAGATTCTTCTTAATAACCATGTTTTATGTTACCATGTTCTACCATAGTTATGAATATGTCTTGTAATAAACCCTAGATCATGGTAATGTTTTGTATATGTCTTGCAATAAAACCTTATTGCTCAAGAAAAAACAAACTCTCTTCTTTGTTCTTCTTCATCCTTACTTCACTTCAAATCTTGTCTTGACTCCTTTTAAAACTTTGGATCATTTATATCTCACTCACGATTACGTCAAACATACAATAGAGAGAAGGAGAGAGAGTGTGTTTGCTTGTAGAAGTCGTCATTGTCAAGAGGAAAACAAAAAAGCCTGCATGTTCTGTGAAGGAGATTTGGTCATATGACACAAAATGAAAATGATGAGAGAAAAAAAAAGAGTCGTTAGGATAATTTTGCCTAGAGCTAAAGATTAAGACATGTCTCATATGTAAAACCACATGAACTCCATGTTACTCTTGTCCTGCCTCTATCCCTTGAGCTGTCTTGTCTCTCTTGCAAAACTTTCTGCTATTCTTACACAACTGTTTTGTAAAAGCAAAGAAGGAACAATATTAAAACAAACAGAGAGTCCTTCTCATACTTTTTAGTATTGCCCCCAGACATCTCACCTCCCAAAATCCATGTCTGTTTCTTTTTATGGAATTCTCTATTTTTAATTCAACCACGTGAAAGAGAGGTATCTCTATAAAAACCCTCTTGACTTGTCCTCTTTTTTTGTACTACTCTGTTTTTATTTTCATTCCCATCGATTATACGAAAAACAGCAATGACCATTTTCTCTTTGATCAAGACATCTCATCTCCCCCAAAAAACCATTTCTATTTATATTAGGAACATCTCTGATTTATGTTCTTTCAACCACGTGAAAGGTAATCGACATTTCCTCAACTGTCTTCTTCTTATAATTTTAACTCTGTTTTTATCTCAAAAACAGAGCATCTCTGTTCAAATAGATGCAAACTCATGAGTTTTTGTATAGCTTTCTCAAGTCTTCAATGTCCAAAACTCGTATTACTCTTCTTGGTCAAGAAAAGAGAGCTGGTTACAGTCTAGCGAAATCACATTAACATAAATGTAAAAGTCTTTTCATCCACATGGGTTTGCAGGAAAAATATTAGCAAAGAAACGTGGACCCAACAATTAAGAAACTGCAAAGAGTAAGATACTATTGCAAGTTATGAAATCAGCTAATATGAACATGGACATGTACGATGATCAATAGATTAATAGTGAACTGAAAATGACAACATCCATCACCATAAACCCAAACATAAAAGGAAAAAACAGAGTGGTACCTAGAGAATGAGACGGCACTAGGAAAGAAAGCTAGAAGCTTTTTCGTTTTTTCAACCATCGGTGGTCAATTTTCCCTTCAAATATGGAGGTTCAATGGTTTGATGTTTAACGCATTTGTCGGTTTTTCATTGATCTTATTGCACCGAATCAATCGAATCATACATATAAGTCACGGTTTGAAATAACCATAATGTATAGTATACAAAATAACTTATGTATCTCTAAACGTAACATGTCTTAAGTACTTAAACCATATATGCCTAATGACTCTGCTCACAAATGTTAGTAAGTGCACTCTCTCTCAGATCCGTTGTCACATAATAGTCACATGGATTCTCAGCAAAACTTCTAATGGGATCTTCGTAAGAATGGCTACTATATAGCGCACTGTTCGATTGTGAATCATCTACAGAACTGTGAGTGTGGTTAGTTCGACAATTCGGCTTTATCTCGATTTTACTGCGTAGTCTTTCCTGCTCACTGAGGCTGAAGTGCAGATAGGCTAATTCACTCAGGCCCATGACACAAAGGCCCAAGAAAAAGCTGTTATAACAGTTACACGAGTCGAAGAATGATACAGAGCGTTCTTTCTTCTTATTTCTTGTGAATCTTCTTCTTTCTTTTTCTTGCTGATGTGATACATAAGATGATCATACAAACAATATAGTCTTGTACTGAAGATGTTAAGTCAAGTTCAATTAATCCATCCAATGGCGGGGGTTTAGTGAAAATGTAGTTTATGTCTACATTAGGAGATTGTTATCTTGAGGCTGAGGGATATCACATGTTCTTTGTCTATGACTATGAGCATGGATTTATAGCTAAGATCACTGCGTTCCTTCTCATAAGTAAAGTAGGTCTTCTCACTGATATGAAAAGACAGGATCGAGGTGGTCTTCTCAGTGATTTCAAAAGACAGGACCACATAACTTAGTTATCATACCGTACGATTTAAAATTTATGTGGCAAGAATTAAACTCAGCAAAAGGTAGCCTATCTAATATTGAGTCATATGTGGTCTGTGTATCATCATATCATCATCATGGAGATTATCATTGGACAAAGCCATGTGCTTGTTGATGCTTATGAGCTTAATCAAGATATTCGATAATCAAGATTTCCAAGTAGTGTTCTTCTCTATATATACCCATCACTCTCCCTTGAGCTCTCCAAGTTCTCACTTTCCTTAGTCAAAACTCAAAAGCAATAAACTTTCACTTGCAATAATCTTTTCTGATTCAGAACATCAAAATCCATGGCTATCAGAATTTCTCGTGTGCTGCAATCATCAAAGCAACTTCTGAAATCGTTATCACACTCTTCAAACAGTGTTGATGTTCCAAAAGGATACCTTGCGGTTTACGTAGGAGAGAGGATGCAGAAGAGGAGATTTGTGGTTCCAGTAACGTACTTGAGTCACCCTTGTTTTCAAAAACTTCTAAGGAAAGCAGAAGAAGAGTTTGGGTTTGATCACCCAATGGGTGGCCTCACTATTCCCTGCACTGAACAAATCTTCATCGATCTCGCCTCTCGCCTATCGTGATTCACGTGAAATAGTAGATCTAACCCTTTTTCCAGCCGTTTCTTTCAAAACAATCTCTCTCCCTTGAAAGTGAAACAGAGCTAGATGTCTTTTTTGACTGATGTAACATTCGTTTTATTCCTCACATTCAGTGAGTTGTTGTTGATATTAATCAAACTCAAGAATCATGATTCCTTCTATTGACACTTGAGTTATCATTTAGCACATCTCCGCTTACTGTGACTACAAGGTTTGCCATCTGAACACAGAAAGATTTTGGTGGAAACGAAGAAACCAACATACACATTGGACATTACACATCCGTGGAAGTTTTCTAGGAGAAATCTAATCTCTGACAGTACCACTGTGGTGAAAGTATAGCTTGAGGTCTTTGTCTACCACTCTCCGATGCCAGAGCAATTAGGCATTTCTCTACACAAGTTATCTCATTTGGTACAAGAAACTATATTGCAGATATAGAGATTCGATAAGGAGTGTTGCATTCATAAGTCATCACACACATACTCTGCAAAACCCACACCGAGAGCTGAATGACCTGCCGTCTTCAGTTACAGAACTCATGCTGTTTAATTTTACAGTATCAGAAAGCTTGCGGTTTCTTCTGGCATGACAGTCACCCTGTTTTTCATGTTCAAAAGAGCACTACTATTTAGCTTTTAGTTGGTAAGACTAGGTGCCGCTCTTCCTCGGCTCACACTGACATCCATGCTGTCTCATTCTTGGTTGTGTCGACTGTATATTAATGCTGATTGTGACAAATCAGCAACCACAAGTTAGATCCACCTACACTCCTAATCAGTAAGGTGTGTACATAGCACATGGCTTTGCCTCTCTTGACTTGATTGTTTGTGAATTTGGCAGACCAAGGCGGACCCTCCCATTCAAATGAAGCAGCTGCAGTTTCTACCCTCAAAGACAAATCCATGTTAAGCACAGTGTGACAGTGAGTTCTTGATTCTCCCTGTTCAACAACTTCAAAGTCTCCCCCTGTGCTGCTGCAATATCCCACCATATGAACTCTGCCCATAGATGTCCATCTCTTGTAGGCCACAGAACAATCTTCTCATTGATTTATATATACAAAGAGGGCACTAGTTTCTCATCTCATACAAAACCAAATCATAATCAACAAGTCAGAATTAGGACAGAACGTCAATTTCTCTGATCCAGCTGCAGAAAATTTGAGATAGAAATGACAATGATGAGAGGTATTTTGGCTGCAAAGAAGAATCTAACAAGCAAAGCAGCTACGACACCAAAAGGATTTCTAGCGGTGTATATAGGGGAGAGCCAAAAGAAGAGATATATGGTGCTGATTTCGTTCTTGAAACAGCCTTCATTCCAAGCTCTGTTGAGTAAGAGGGGTTTGGGATAATCATCCCACGGGTGGCTTGACAATCCCTTGTTCTGAAGATACTTTCGTCGCTATAGCTTCTCAGCTGAGATAGTAGTAGAACCAAACAGAGAAAACAATTTTGAACTTCCTATTTTTTTTTTTAACTCGAGAACTAGAAACCAATGTCAATACATACCTTTTTCCTCTTTTCTTATTGAAGGAGTTGTTCCCAAGGAGAAAAATTTAAAAGGAAACACCATATTGGTATTTGCCTCCCATCATTTCATACCACATACTGATAAGAACATAGATTATATCTGCTTCTAAATAATAACACACAATACTAAAGATTTCACAAGGGCAAATTCATATAATCAAAAAATGTCTTTCTTGGTTGTCTTGAACACAAGTTTCAACAACGTACATAGATGAGAGATCAAGCCGTATAATCCAAGAATAAACACATGTACTTGTCAATCTAACACGTCTCATTCTGACCTTGAATCTCCACCAGTCTCTAGGGAATTAGATTTTGGGTTGTGCAGAGGATTTGACAATTTCTGAAGCTTCATATCCAGAAAATTTACAGCCGAGCTAATCTGTAAGAAGAAGTAGAATCAAACCCCAGGAAAAGATGATTAAAGTTCGGACCTTTAATTCATTTCCATTGGAAAGTGTAAAAAGCTTACTGATTGAGAAGCAGTCTGAAACAGAGTATTCGTCAAGGGAACTACACAAAACCTGTTCCAACGGATACTTGAGTTGGTTCCATAAATTTTCCAAGAAGAAACCTTTCCAATATAAAAGGGGTTTCTTCGACTTACATTCCTCGGCCGCCGGCGAGAGCTTCTTCCGATGGGTCCTTCCAGTCGTCGACCCTATAAAAGCCAGCACAGAATCATATATACTGTATATATACTTCCAATATATTAGAAAATAATATTTGACTGATAAAGTTAGAGAATTTACACCCAGCCGTAGCGGCGGTCGAAGAGAAGCCGTCTGGAGGAGCGGTTGGAGGCGGTCGCCGGTGGTTCCATCTCTTCCTCCGACCGATAGATGATAGAAATTGGAAAGTGACAATGAACGGTTAAGCCTATAAAATCACTGGGCTTATTCGTAATTAATAGGCCCATTCACATATATTCTACAATGAGATCACTGGGCCTATTCGTAATTAATAGATCCATTTACATATATTCTATGATGAGATCACTGGGCTTATTCGTAATTAATATATCCATTTACATATATTCTCACTGGGCTTATTCGTAATTGATAGACCCATTTACATATATTCTATGATGAGATCACTGGGCTTATTCGTAATTAATAGACCCATTTACATATATTCTATAATGAGCCCGTTAGTTAAGTGCTTCAAAAGTCAGTGAGAGTAAATATTTATCTCTCTGCCCTCTGAGTATGTGTGCTATTAGCCTATTTACAACCATTGTATGAGTATATTTGTACAAGGTTAATCTCTTCAAAGGCAGAAAAATGATAGGAGATCGATCTAGAGCAATAACAAACCAATGAAACATTCGGGTAGAATCTTAAGACTAGCAACGATCGTATTCCATACCAAGAGGTTTAAGGTCCCTGGACCTGACGGCTATACTGTGGAATTCTCACAAATTTTGCTAGGAACAAATGAAATCCAATGTGTTGGCCATAAACTTTTGGAACGAACCAAATATAAAAACACTACTGGTTTCTCAGATTCTATCTATCACCTTATGTTGGATGTGTGAATATTACTCTGCTTTGTAGAATTTGCGTCAACTTTACCGTGAGAAACTGAGAATAAAGGAGGACTAACCACAAAAGTGAAGTGGAAAAATCATGTCGATAAGATCCAAGGGAGGGACTTGTCTATGATGACCAACAAAAATATACAACACAGTTGAAAGAATTAGGATTCTTTTCCCTGAGGGAGTAACTTGAGAGCAACCTCAGGGGTACTCAAATACATAATGCTTAGATCTATCTTCGTGTTACAAATGTCATCAAGTATCTATCTTCCGTTTTCTTTTCCTTTTTTCTTGGTAACTTACACAACCCCAGATGGAAGCCTTAAAATAAGCTGGCCTCCGAAAACACTGGACAAGAACGATGGGTCAAATCAAATAGGTGAAGCGAAAAGACTGAAGAAGCTTGTGGATGGAGAAAAGGCAAGTACCTTTTAACGTAGTAGTAACAGAAATCTGCCAAAATGAATGTTTGGACAATTTCTGAGATAATCACCATTGATGGCCATAGTCCGTAACCCAGTGCTACAAGCAGGCGTCCACGGGTGTCCATAATCTGTTTGGACACAGAAGACAAAACAAATTTATGCGTTCAGTTTAAAAATATATCACAGAGTCTTGAGAAGGTCTAATGAGGATACTAATGAAGAATTGATCACTTGCTGAGTGAATAGGAGGTTTGATAAGCCATTGATTTTTACAAAAGGAATGAACAACTTAACCAAGTAAATCCTTATTCTCTCGTGAATATCAGAATCTATACCTGTAAGACCCAGTGTGCACAGCTAAGGAACCTTGCTACTCCAAGTGCAAATACATAATGAGCAGTGAAGGGTTCGACAATCTGAATGAACCAAACATATCAGGAACTGGACTTGTTTATAGTTCTCAAGTTTCCAAGCGACCTTATAAAAGTACATACCTTTGTGTTCTGCATCACTCTTAACTGTGGCAAAACTGACACAGCTTCAAGGTAAACACAGAGTGCCCACGAAATTCTATTCAATATATTGTGTGAAGTTGATGGATGGATCAATACAGCTAGCACAACACAGGGCACGAGCTGCAAAAATCAAAAGGACGAAGAATCAATGTATATTTTAATTATTCAATACCATACCATGTTCTGAATAGCATGTAATGAGCTGATGAACCAAATTTGATCCTTATGCAATTACGAAGGAACAATGATTATAACTTATAACTTGGAAGAATCTAGTTATAAGAGGCTTCTAGTGAACGTTGTCGCTCCACTTATAAACAACAGTTATAAGCAACATTTTCATCTGACCTTAAGGTAAGCGTAACTAAAAACATACGTAAGCGTAACTAAAAACATACGACTTTTAGATGCTGAAATAACCAACATGATTAGCAAGCACATAACCTAAGAATGACTCACTTACCACATAATAGAGAGCAAAGTTGTCTTTGTCCTCCATGTAACTAGCTTTAAGCTTAAAACGGATCATAAATATAACCCAGAGAGTTGTTCCCAAAGTAGCCAAGTCCAGAATGGTATGTATATCATATTCCATTACAAAACTGCAATAGAGCCTAACAGCTAGAAATATCGCCGTAAGCTCCTGAGATTTCAGTGACAATCCTGACAAACACACAAAACATCTATGATTAGGCTTAATCCCATAATTCTGATTTCTGTAATGAGGATATGCTGATTCCAACTAAATTACCCAATTAGAAAGAGACTCCTTTTGGAGATTTGGGTACTGAAATGTTGAACAAAGTCTACATTTTTACATCTTAAGACAGATCCAAATTCTCATGTTATAGCAATACAATTGTCTCTCCTAATAAGATCCCTAAATTGGATGTAATAGTATAGACAACGAAGTCAAAGGAGGAATTTGAGGTTGATACCAGCACAAGTCTTTTCCTTCATGAGTTTATAGATAAGAACAGAGATTCCAATTGAATGAACAGCTTCGGCGGCAACGAAGAGATTGTCGTGATCGTGAACGATGAATCTGAGAAGAACAAGAGCCGCCATGCCCAATACGACGGCAAGGAAAGCTTTCACCTTTGGCGGTTGCCTCCTCACCCATCTCGACACCGCGTGGATCGGAGCCGTCGTTAACTTCATTTTCGATTCCTTCTTCTTCTTCGTGTCTTGCTTTATCAGTAAAAGTGACGACGACCTGAGAGTTTTACAGGTAAATATATGTAAAATATACGGTATCCCCATTAATGTCAAATTGACTAAATCACCCTTTCACACGTGACACATTAATTCATTACACTCAAACTCATTGGGCCGGATCACAATAAGACCCATTTTAGGCCCTAAAGAAAGTATTATCAGTTTTTTTATTGTGAAATAAAATATTTCTAATTTTACATGTTGTTTTTTATCATGATTTTTTTTTAAAAAAACATGCTGATCAATTATCATTATAGTGTACCAAAATATGAGATATTTCTTAAATTTTTTTTTTTTTTTGGGATCAAAAACATCTTATATTTTAAAAAAAAATCATAACATATGATTATATCTTCAATCAAATGTTCATACCTATGTTGGGTTATGGTGCTGTGCATGCCTTGCTTAAACTGAATCAAATCAATACTGTTGTCATTTTGTCAACATACAGTATGAGAAAAGGTCAATGATATATTGATATGAATACTTGGAAATGAAGTACAATAACATTAGGCAGAACAAGGTGAGTGGAACAAGGTGAAGTGAGTGTCTTTTTCATGGTAGGCCACTAAGATAAGCTTCCTCCTTGTTCTCATGTCCTAACCACCAATCACTCACTCATATCTCTCACAAAAAAATCCCATCAGAATTTTAAAGATCTGCCTGTCTTTTGGATAATCTTTGATTTTTTCACGATAAACCATACTTAGCTCGATATAATAGCCATAATATTGATCTTTAAAAGTTACATTAATCATTTGTTAAACTATCATTTTTTAACAAAATTTGTATATGTTTTGTGGAATTGAAAACTCTCCATGTATATATACTATTTATGGAACGATAGGAAAAAGCTAAGCAAACTAGGTAGACTTAAGAAAACATTACAAGTAAAGGAGTACGATCTATATTTATATAAACTCAATGATAAACATGGCGAACACGGATCCATAAAGAAGCTCAGTATCAATACGAATAATTCGCTCGAAATTATTAGATAAGTAAATGACCACTAGCTAGTACTAATGATTTTTCCAAAAACAGTGAGTGGTATCATCATCGACAATAATAATATCATTTATAGTATTACCTAACAAACCATTATCTCTCTTTCTCTTTATCTCACTTTTGTTCTATTATTCTTCCGTGTAATAAATAAAAAGCATAATTCACAAAATCATCAAACAAGAAACACAACTACACAAAAGAAACAAGCAACAAGTAGGAGAGCTAGACTATAGCTAGAGATGCATTACCACGGCTGCTGCTGCGGACGGTGCAGAGTCTCGACGTCTCCGTTGCCGGTAATAGTGATGATCACGGTGGCCCTCGTGCTCTTAGCCCTCTCCTCCGTCGTGAAATTCGAGGTAGCTGTGTCATCGGGGGAGGATCTGCTGAGCTGGCTCCTCCTCGCCGCGGTACCATTGGGTCTACTGTTCGCCGTGAGATGTCTCTCTTGCCTTGAGACGACGTCGAGGCGATCTACTTACTACTGTCCATGTGGTCGCTGGAGATGCGTTTGCTACTACTGATTAAGTCTTTGTCTTGATCGCGGTTAGTATTTTGTTGCGTTTGCGTTTTATGCAAATCAATAATTTCGTAAATAATTATGTGTTAGGTATTTTTATTCTCTTTTGATGTTTACGTGAAGCATACCATATATATGTGACGTGAAGCACCCGATTCTGGTGGATTTGACGAACGTGATTAATTAGTTAACAATTAACCTTAACCTTAATTTTATTACTTTTGTATGATCGATCTTGCGATGTTTTTCTTCAAGCATACGGCGATCATAAAACTTGTTCTTTTTTGTTCTACTTTCTTAATTTTCTTCCACAAATTAAAATCTAAGGATTCTAGAAGTAAAGTTGGTAAATAGATATATGAAATTTTGGAATACGTACATATATTTTCGTTTTCAATCAGATATATAGTGTTACTTTTTGAATAATAATTTTGTAGTAATTTATAAAGAAAAACTGTGAATGAATTATCAACAGAGTAATTAATTGAGTCATGTTGTGATTAGGCAGAGATTAGAGTTAAAGGTGGGTAAAAAGTCAGATCATAGTTTTCGTCATCTTTGAATTTTGAGTTGCTTATTGAAGAGGAGGTATAATGACAACAGTTAAAGCTAAAGGAAAATAAGTAAATTTGATAATGACGCTCCACCTAGAATTGTTAATTGTATCGTGCCCCATTATACGAAAGAGAAAGCAACATAACATTTATATTTATTTTTGGAAATGGCCAATGTACACACGTTAATTTTATCAACGAAACCTATAGGTAACATACACTCGTCTTTTACGTTACACGAATAATTTGCTTACAAATTCCTATATTTTTTAATATAAAATTTGAGTTAAAGTAGTCACTATTTAAGAATATAGATAGCTTTGATCACTCTACTAATTATTTCGATTAGTTTCAAAGTTAATGGAATTTGAAATAAAACAGTATAAAATAGCTCATATGTCGGTCAAACATTGAATATTATAACCTAAAGGCGGTTTCTATAAGTTTTATATATTTTTTGTGCTTCATCACATAAAAGTAAAAAAACCAAGAAGAGCTTCTCTCATCGTTTAGTATTATCGGGAAGCAAAGAAACTATGGCTTATGGAGAGAGAAGATCATCGATCTTGGATTCATTCTCGCTCTCGCCTCTACCGTATCCAGTTCTTTTGATCCTAGCCGTGGCTTCTGTCTTCTTGTTAACGTCATGGTACTTCAGCTTCGAAGAAGCAGCCGAATCCGCGGAAGAGCAGATGAATCTTGCTCTCCTCTTGATCCCTCTGTTTCTCATAGTATTGGTACGGTGGCTCTCTTCCATGGAGAACCCTGACGCGCTTCTTGGCATGTTTTCGAGCAGCCGTGGTGGTAGGGCGACTTACGTGAGTCCCGGTGCCGGAGATGAAGGTGGAAGCTCGCCGTGGGGAGTGGCGGCGTTGATAGTTTTGTTGCTAGTTTTGCTTCAGTATCAGTCAAGTTTCTTGGAGAGGTGGTTTGGTTAAATGATAATGTCATAATGATGATGATATTGATAGGCTCTTTCACATGTTACTTGGTTGTTGTCGTCTAGTGTCACGATGATGTATACAAAATTTGGTCATTTACTCCGAGGATGAGGATCGTGTGACTTGTGTTATATCCCATGTATCTTCTTCTTCTCTCTTCTTTACACGTCCCACAATATTTAAGAAAAAAAAGGATATGGTAGCTTTCAGAATGCATTAAATTGAGCTACATGGAGTATGGAGTAAGATATATATGTTCATCTTCTAAATGAATTCCAAAACACCTTTTGTGCGCATTGGTAAATCTTGAAGAACAAATAAACAAATAATCCATCAAAGTAGTTCGAGTTGTGTAGCTCTTCAAATTAAAAATGCAAATGACTCATCGACCATTTTGGGCACCACATGATATGATCTATACACTTTAGATTTGATAACTAGGCCTCTGCAAAAAGACCGGAACCAAAAATTCATCAAAGCGCGTGAGAGTCAGACGTGACTTAGGCGCGTGAACTCTTGATTAAGCTAGAAAGACAAAATTACCCTTGAGGGTTAGAGAGAGAGCAGAACCACCAACCCTTTGTTGAGCCTCTATCTCCTCCTCTGCTACCTTAAGCTGAGAGTGTGAGTCACAGTCTCGTCTCTATCTCCTTTTGCCTTTTCCACTCACTACACGCCAAACCCGAGAGACGACATGGCAGCTACCTCCACCTCTCTCACTGCCCCTTCTTTCTCCGGTCTCCGCCGCATTTCTCCCAAGCTCGACGCCGCCGTCTCCTCCCACCAATCCTTCGTCCACCGTGTCAATTCCTCTATCCGTCTCGTTTCTTCCTCTTCTTCTTCTCACCGCTCTCCCAGAGGCGTTGTCGCCATGGCTGGATCCGGAAAGGTTCCAACTTTAACCCTTACCTCTCTCCAAATGCTAGATTCTCACTGTTTATGATTGACTGATTAAAAATTATTCCTTTTCTTTTTGTTGCATGATTGGTATTTCTAGAATCCAGATTCTCTAAATTGGTTTTTGGAAATACAAAGAATCTCAAACATTGGATTCAATGCTTAACTTTGGTCTTGAGTTGCTTGCTGGTTGCTACTCCACACAAATTGTGTTTTATGCTAGATTCAGGGTTTAGGAATGAGGAACAAAGTTAATCCTTTTAGAAGAGATCAAGAATCTCTATTCTCTCCATTTGATTCAATACTTTAACTTTCCTCTGGATTGTTTTGAATGCTAGATTCATGGATTAGGATTTAGACTGTCTTTTCAATATTGTGAATCGTTGTCTAAACTCTAAACACTTGCCTTTTCTCTGCTTGCTGCAGTTTTTCGTTGGAGGAAACTGGAAGTGTGTAAGTACAATGCCCAAAGTCTTTTTTCTTTTTTTTTTTCTGTATCTTGTCTCTCCTCCTCAAACTAATATCTCATGTGGCATGTTTTTAGAATGGGACCAAGGACTCCATCGCCAAGCTTATTTCTGATCTCAACAGTGCAACCTTGGAAGCTGATGTAGGTGAGTTTCTGATCTCTGTATTTGGGGCATTAGTGCCGTTCCGTATTGTACAATGGACCTAAGCAAGTCTTTGTCAACTCAATTCCATCCATTTTAGTTTTTTTACCAAAATTCTAAACTTGTTTTGAATGCAAAGGACCTCGCGCTGACCATTTGCTCTTGATGATCTTTTTTTTTGTGTGATCTATGTAGATGTTGTTGTGGCACCTCCATTTGTCTACATCGACCAGGTCAAATCTTCATTGACAGACCGTATTGAAATATCGGGTCAGAACTCTTGGGTTGGAAAAGGTGGAGCCTTCACTGGTGAAATCAGGTTATGACATCTCTTATTCACATACTATCATACTCGCTATTTATATGGTTGAAAATTCGCTAAAATATCTGACCTTTGCAATTAATCCTCCCATAAAAATGTTCTCGATGTTATATATGATCCCTTGCCTGAACTTAAATTCACCCTTTTCACCATACAGCGTGGAACAGCTCAAAGACCTCGGTTGCAAATGGGTCATTCTTGGGCACTCCGAACGGAGACATGTCATTGGAGAAAAGGATGAGGTCAGTTAATAAAATACTTAATAAGAACTTTTGAGTTTCTAAGAAAGGTTTGTGAAGACATGTTTACTCTGTTCTCAACACAACCATAGTTTATCGGGAAGAAAGCTGCTTACGCATTGAGTGAGGGTCTTGGAGTAATAGCTTGTATTGGGGAAAAGCTAGAAGAGAGAGAAGCAGGCAAGACATTTGATGTTTGCTACGAGCAGCTGAAGGCGTTTGCTGGTAACAGTCTTGTATTACAATCTCATTTTCCAAATCATGTCTGCACTCAATTAACTGCAGTGAATTGTATTTCCAGATGCTGTACCTAGCTGGGACAATATTGTTGTTGCATACGAACCTGTATGGGCAATTGGAACTGGTAAAGTTGCATCTCCTCAGCAAGCACAGGAAGTCCATGTAGCTGTCCGCGGTTGGCTCAAAAAGAATGTCTCTGAGGAAGTCGCTTCCAAAACAAGAATCATATATGGAGGTGCGTTATTATAGTTGTCCACTGCAAAATTAGACTTTATGTTGATTATTTCCTACCCAATTGCCAGGTTCTGTCAATGGAGGCAACAGTGCGGAGCTTGCCAAAGAAGAAGACATTGATGGATTTCTTGTTGGTGGTGCCTCCTTGAAGGTAATAAACTTTAGACGTTTGTGGATATGTTGTTGATGAAAAGAAGTAAAGCTCACATTCACCTTTGATGTGAATTTAGGGTCCTGAGTTTGCAACCATTGTGAACTCAGTCACGTCAAAGAAAGTTGCTGCTTGATTAAGAACTGTCAGTAACGGAAATCGCTAGTCTCCATGGAACAGATGAGATCAGAAATAAAAGGGAGGTTAGCGAACTTGTTGTTGTTGTGTTCTTACTTCTTCTTGAACTAATAATGAAAAACAAAAAAAAATGATTCATGAGCTCTGGTTTGACGGAGAGAGAGAGATAAGGGGTCTTTCATTAAGATCTTTGTAACTAAAGCTGTGATTCTCTCTTTTCACTTTGAGTAAGCTTAACTCAAGAGTTTCTTCTATATGACAATCTAAATCAACTCTCGAGGCCACACTTAAAATTTAAAATATATGGTATTTGTGATGGAACAAAAGTATTGAAACAAGCGTGAAAAACACATTTTCTTCTCAAACACTCAAACCTGAGCAATGGTGCCTTATCGCCCGAAGAAGTTGCAACTCAGTGTGAATTGCTAATAGACTGCATTAGACTACGATAGATAATATTTCATGCCCAGTGTTAGAACCGTCTCTCTCCCTCCTGTCCGAAGCAACTTATCCACAAGCCTGTTTGTCCATCTTCTAGTACCCCATCTGTTAAGCAACTTAATCTCATTACTCTTCAACCTCCTCTCCTTTCTTTCTGATCAAATCTTCAAACTCAACTATTTGGAGAGTACAATAGTTTTTCATTGTTTTGATGAACTAATGTAACAAAAGTAGTATAAAGATTAGTGACGAAAGTAGTATAAAGATGTTAGTGTACTGCTCAAAAAGGTGTTAATGTACTGCTCATCCATGGACATGCCCTGATATAGAAGATTAACAACAAAAAACGCAGATCTAAACCATTATAAGTTAAGTTGTTTCATGAGGAGAATATTTATGACAAGAAGTAAAGATTGTCTAAAGAGTACAATGCTGGAACAAAAAAAGTAACGTTTAAAACCCTAAATATCCTCAAGACTGAACTTAAACTTGGAAACTCTTTCAAAACGCTGAAGCCGAGTCTATAACAACTAGAAAGAGCAAAAAGCTCAATTAGTTCTTCTTGTTCTTTGATTTCCCAGACAATGTCTTGGCCAGAGTAGTTCCCTGTAGGTAATAATAACACACCTTTCAATCAGATTCAATCACATAGAAGATGAAAGAAGCCTAACGGAAGAGAGAGAAGCGAACCTCGAGCCATTCGTCAAGTGATGCATCGGTAGACCTGGTTCCTACTTCAACCTTGGACACCTTTTTGGTTTTCTGTTATGAGGAGATTATCAAATGAATATTTAACTGTACAAATGATTCACTGGAAAGAAAAAAGAAATCCAATTGTTTACCTTAGTGAGACGCTGTACTTGACTGTATGCCCACAGACCGAGGAGGAGGAGGAGACCGATTCCGAGTGTGATAAGGAAGACAGATTCGCCACTGAGGAGACCTCCAGATTCAACTACCTCTATGGTTCCATTGTAGAAGACACTCTGGTATGGCTTTCCTTCCACGTCGTAAATGACATAACCAACCAGATCAAATGCTCCAGGCTGTGAAAGAAAACAGCAACACCAATTAAGATCAGATTCTATTGATTACCCCATTGTACTTTTAGAATGAATGAGAATGATATGTTGTTTATGGTAGGATATGTGTACCTGCAGGTACTGGCTGACTGCAAAGATGTATGGGAATGTAGCTTGAAGAGACGTTGGGATAGATGCATTGTTGAATCTCTGTAATATAAAGGGAGTATGAGAAACAATAAAATCATAACATACATTTAGAGAAATAGTTTCCTAGTCAAATGCTTACCAGCATGGTTAGATTCTGAACCAACAACTTATGGTCATAAGGAAGATGAACACTGGCTCTAATTCCCATAACACCTACGCTAGTTTTGCCTGTTTAAGTCACAGCCAATTTGGTGAGATATATAGATCTAACCACAAAGCCAAAGAGATAGCTTAAGAAGTGTTTAGCCTACCATCATTCTTCAAACCAACAAGAAGCTCAGTCTCTTCTCCAGCTGGTACCACTGCAGGAAACAAAGAGCATTCATGATCAAAACAACGGATAGATAAATACTTGAGGAGGAAGAAGAAGAAGGAGCAAACACTAACGTTTGGCACTGTTTTTGGGGAAAACACAAACTGTCTCAACTCCTGGAGCTGAGGTCAAGTTCATATCCAAATCCTGGTCATCTTCCTCAACGGAATCATCACTGTGTTCTCCGATAATATCGTCAACAAGACTGGAATGATCCTCGGCATCCGATTGACATCTAGCAACTGAAAAAAAGAACACATCAGGTCACATGTTTCTCTGTAAAAGCATAACGCCTTCTTCTGAAAAAGGTTACAATTTGGAAATGATCCTCTAATCAAAGACCAACAGGCGAGTGCAGCTTCCAGAAAGTAAGAAAACAAAAGACATGCAAGGCGGACACGATTGAAGAATCTATTACTTTGTAGTAGTATTCGATCTACATGTGAAAGTTTGTCTTTTTCTGAAACCACATTGCTCTACGATTGTCATCAAAACTCCACAACACAGAACTAGAATGTTCAAATGGAAATGATTTGTAAAACGAGCTCAATTTCACTCGGATCGATGAATAAAAAACGTAACTTTATTCCAAAACAGGACAAGATCATATCAAAAAAACCAGATCGGATACAGAGATCAAATACGAAATCAGTAAATTGGGAAAACGCACGCGACGAAACAAATGGATCTAGATCTGCAGATTCCAGAAAAAAAAAAAAAAACAAACAAAAGAAGAAGAAGAGAGGGTTGTGAAAAGACCTAACCTTGAAGCAGAGGAGATGCGAGTAGAAGGAGAGCGAGGAACAAAACCCTAAGATTCATCATCGCTATTGCTGCTTCTATCAAATTTGGTCAACGAATTTGCGAATGAGAAGAACAGTGTCTCTCGCTCGATGCTATTTATGCTTTGCTCCTCTTTCACTAAAATAAATATTATTATTTTCCTGAATAAAAACTAAAAAGGAGATAACAAACACGAGTTACAGAATACAAAACTCGAAAAACGACAGCGTTTTGTCTGGTCTCTCTCATTTGATTCTTATTTGATTTTGTTACCTTTTATTATATACATGGAGGATTCACAAATTACTTACTCTCTTCAACATTCTTAATTATGTGCCCTCATTATAATAATCAGATGATCTCATACTTAATTTTCATATGGAATTTCACTAAATAGTAACAGGGAAAAACTAAAAGATATATTTCCATGATTCCAGTAATTGAAAAAAACGAGAGTGTAATGGTACATTGAGGCACTGATAATGAGAAGAATAAACATTAATAAAAAAACTCCATGAACATTCCACTACCAGTGCACCAAATCTGATCATTCATGTCAACTAGATTCCATGTAACAAAACCATATTCTGGTCCATAATCAATCCCCATGGACTGTGTACCGCTCCCACTTCTTTGTCGGGTCGTAAATCTGCACAAAGGTAAGGCAACAGCTTTAATGCCTAAAGTTATAGATTAGCTGAGAATGAAAAAGTGCAGGGAAAGGGTGATTTGGGAGTTACCTCCCATCTGGAAGCAGGGAATATATGCTTGTTCTTCTCGTACCAATGCCTCTCCACAACTTTACCCGCATGAGACTTCAATAACACCACATTTTACAAAGCTTTAGAAATAACTTCTTCTCAACATCAAACTACTATGTTTTCTGATGCAACAGGGTCAGGAAAAAACATACCTCGTCTTTCTCTATTGTTGCATCTGCTATTGTTCTTACATCTTCATGAACATCAAAGTGAAACAGCTGTTAACAAGAACAGTGCAGCAGTGGGTGAGTCTCAGTTGGTTCAGCAGCTATTTCTATATGTACTAAATTCAGAAATTTTTGACAAGACATACCGGGCCACTCTTCCCTCTAGCTTTGTTAATGATCAGCTCATAGAAACTGTGTTGCTGCATTTGCAATAAACATCCTCATGTTATGGTTAAGTTCTAGATAGTCTGAGGGGTGAATAACTTGATAAGTGTAATGGGTTCTTACATGCGGGATAATAAGATCTTCCTTCACATATAGCAAATTCTCAACTGATGTCGTCCGAATCTCCCGGAAGTCAGGGGCAAGCTGCTGTTGAACAGCCCGCAGAAAATTCCCAATTGGATCACCCTTTCGGACCTGTAGAAAGTGTAAATCATACAGGTGGGTATATGATCAGACTTAAGCTCAAAACAGCACTACAAAAGATGTAGCTTGTGCTTGCCTGGATAACTCGTCTATGGCCCGTCCCATCCCAGTAACTGTAAGTAATCTGAAGAGGCTCGTCTGAAAAAGCACAAAACTAGTTAGACAATCTTCCTTAACTCAAGTGTTAGTAATGAAATTAGAAGCAACTGGAAAGTGGACAACTTTTAATCTGCTCTTGTTCACGAAGCCACTGCTTCTTTAGCCTTTCACGTTCAGCTTGTTCTTCCGCCTCCCGCTCACTGAAACAGCAACCTCAAAACACCACAGCTAAAGTTGAGATTTACTGCAAAAAACAGACAGGGAAGATAATAGGAAACGAGAGAGCAAGAGATCACCTGTCAGGCAGGAAATTAGTTTCCACTGAGGGGTCCTTGCCAAGTTTTCCGCAGCGTAAGTTCATTGTCCCAGAAATCTCTGCATAAATAGTGTACACGATAGAAGTTACAAAGAGGACAACACTAGATGATATTTTGAATTCCTATGTTAGAAAGCTATTTGCATCTTAAAAGCTTCAACAACCAAGCAAGATTCCAACTACAGTTGTAGAATTAATGTCTCTAATACATGTTGAGATTCTATATCTTCAAAACATAGAGATTCTACTTTTTTAACTTCCACACATAAATAGAGATTCATTATTTCAATACTTTTATACAATAAGGAATACATTTTTTAGTGGTCTAAATGAATGACACATGTATCACACTCGCACATAATCTTAACTGTACCACAATTCACCACTGATCTAACAACAGCATATTCAGGACTCAAAGTAATATTTAACAAAGTCTAATAAGTATGGTCCATGTAACTAATTGCAATCTACGAGATTTGATGAATCAATCCACTTACTGTTTTCTCCGTCATCTTCATCACTGCCATTGTCCAGATCTTCAGCAAAAGATAAGAGGGAAGATCCCTTAATCTTTCTCTTCTTGTTACGCTTCTCTAGCTGCAACTCCTCTTCCCTGTAGTTTAGAAACAAATTCAATCAAGCTTTAAACCAAAATACAACAACATCAATAACTATGACGAATGGACTTAAAAATAAAACTCACTCTTGCTGTAGCTTCTGCAGTTTCTCTTTCTCTTCTTCCTCGAACTTATTACGAATATTAACCCTCTACAGATATCACATACATAATTAACACAATCATCTAGATAACTATAAAAAGTGAAGGATAAAGTCCATGACTCCAGTTACCTTCTCCACATATTCCTCTCTTGTAACTAAACCGACTGTTTCTTTCTTGAAAGCAGTGTCAAGAATCTATAAACAAACACAAAACATCAAATTAACAAAACATTTGGGATTTTTGTAAATACTTCAGACACCAAAGCTGCAAAATTCGCAAGTGGTGATAATCTAATTATGTTCTGTGATACTTCAAAGTTGTTCGGAATCATCACTTAGAACTTGTCGTTGTAATCATTCTAAAACCCTAAGTATTGCGGAGAACTCCTAATTCAGAGCAAGAACAAGTTCTAAATCTAATATTCAAACAACAAGCCACCATGTCAACTCTCGAAACCTAGAAATTAGAAAGAAATCAATATAGTTGGTGATCAGATGGGATCTTGATTGGTCGAACCTCGCAAGAGCTAGTGCCGAATTGGAGAAGACCCGATTGGTCTTTGCCTGAGGCAGTCTTGCTCTTCAGCTCTTGGATTTTTTTGCGTTCGGCTTCTCTTTGCTTCTGAAGCCGTCGTATCCTCACCGCATCTTGAGCCGTACCAACGTAGCCGTCACCCATACCCGACATCTTTCCTTTCGCTCAAAATCGGAATCGAATTCACAAGATTCTTCCGACCGCCATTGTTGTGAAAGAGAGCTCTTTTATGCAGTATACGCATGTGCTCATTATAGGCTTTAAATATTTTCTTATGGGCCTATGAATAGTAGTATTAACGGGCTCAAACTGGGCCTATCTCAAACAAACAAAAACATCTCAAAGGTAAGGTGATGATAACTCGTAGGAGTGTGGTTCCTTTTAGTGCCTTGTGTTTTCAGTAGATGTCTTTCACTCATGACCGTGGTCCACAGGTCGGAGTCTACTCCCAAGGAACATTATATGAGAGCTTGAGTCTGAGAAGTGACCTTAAGTCTACTACCAAGGAACATTATATATATGCGACCTTGTTGAGTCTGAGAAGTGACTTTGAGTCTTCTCCCAACTCCCAAGAGGAACATTATATGCGAGTTTCATCGTCTTCAGTTTCTAAACAATCTTATTGGAAAGCAAAAACATTTCTCTTGAACATACTAACACTAGTGAAGAGGGGATTGATTGGCTTCTTTGACGACGACCACAATGCACAAAAAAGTTTTGACTATATAAGAATGTCACAATCTCCTTTCTATGTCACAACTAAATGCAAACTTACAAAATGCAAACCTATCTATTTAATGAATGATCTATACGTATATTGGGTCTCTATAAAGTAATGAACAATATATATAAGTCATGGTCGGTATAACCTATATAGGAGACGGATGATTTAGACATACCACCTACAAAATTATGCTATTGATTATATATCTATATCTATATTTATGCATGTTGTATGAATTATATATTTCTATGTAGATCTTAACAATTAGTTTATAAATGCGATCAATGCATACAAACAGTCTAAAGACTATACTTTCTTAATTGCATTAAGTTACTTCAAAATGTAGTCGCTCGCTCTGTTGAAGCCTTGAAGGCTTGAAGTTAAGGATCGTCGGGAAACATTTTTTACTGTTTACGGTTTGAAAAATATATGTAAAAGGGTTGATTACATATTTTACAGTTTGAAACGTTATATTTTATATTTGTTAAGGGTTGATTACATTACTACATGTTTGTTATCAAATCGCGATTTAATCCACATTATAGAGCCTGATGATCGTTCAGATTTCGAGAATGGTTATACAACATATCAGATAATGTATACACAGTTAACAGGTTATATATATTTGTGGTATATACACATGCATTGTATATTTGTGAATATATATGAATGTATAAAGTAGTTGAGAGAAGAATAAAACAGACAGTGTGTTTGAGCTGGATGTTTTTTCTTTTATATGATAGTCAGGAATTGTGGCTGAGGGGCCTTTGCCAGCTTCAAAAAGATTTATAATAAGAAAGTAATGTCATAAAAATTAGTAGTTCGATTTCTGCTTTCTAACCAATAACCATATATATTAATTAACTTATCACAAATTCCCCCACTAACCAATTTCATCAACAAATATTGTATATACTTTTATTAAAACCTATATAAACTGTTACCTTTTTTGTTACTTAGAGAGATGGTCATGCGCCTTGCATGTATGCATGCCGTATTTAGCCATAGTGGTAAAATACATGACTATGTTAATTCAAGGATTTGAGATGTGGATGTATCACCAACTACGTTATTCTCAATTTCTATTACTGTTTATAGCCTTGTGATGATGTTAGCTTTATCATTGTGTGTCGTATATTAATATGGTCGAATTTGGTCACCGACTACACATTTTCATTTTTAACCATTCACATATTCACAGAATGTACGTGAGTACGTGACTCTCCTAGCTATAACCACTCGAAACTAATGTAGCTATAGATATGTTTTCTCTGTGGATCTAATCACCAAATTATATATAGACGTAGCTAATCACCAAATTATATATAGGCGTAGCTAGCTACTAGCTAGTGAGTTGTACTTCGTAGTGCTCAAACTCATGACTTGGTTCGTAGTGCTCAAACTCATGACTTGGTTTATCTAATTAAGACGATAGAAGATTATATTGTCTATATCACTCCACATATTTAGGTGATTAGGATAAACGTGAACCCTCCTTATATCTGTTTTTGGGGGCAAATAAACTATAAATTAAGAAGTTTATTATCCTCTAAAGGCTCTCATGTGAGACGATTTAATTTTGGGGTCGGTGGTACGTAGACGGTAGACACTATTATATTGTTATACGATCTCATTTATATAATAAGATATATTCATCTACGTACGTTAACGTTGTTATATTTAATTAATTATAACAACTTAAACAACTGAAATTTGAGACAGATTAGTAAAAAAAAGTTCGAAACTCGACTAAAACCAAATTGATACCATTATACATCGTATTCGTATCAAAGCCATATCCATATTAACTTCAGTTGATTTTGTTGGTTCTCATTCTTTTAAAACGAAAAAAGAGTTGAACCGATGATTGAGCATATATGTATCGAACGATAAGTAGAAGACTAAAATGATTAAAGAAGATGAAAGTAACACTCGTATATTCACGTGGCTACAGTACCACCAAGTATTTGAAGTTTTGTAACCGAAACTTTATAATAAAACAAAAGTAATTATAAACCCCATGAATTTATCAAAATAATGGCCGTAAGCGACCTATAAATATACACGAGAGGCGATCTCAGTAGAACCATATTATCTTCTTTCTCCTCTAAGAGTTACATTAGTCTTCAACACAAAGATAATCTGATGAGGATATTACCTAAAAATGGAGGTGCTTACTGCCTCCTCGTTGTGTTTGCTCTCTGTTCTGTGGCTCATTCCCTTATCCGTGACGTTAAGGTCGTTGGCGATGTCGAAGTAGTTGGCTACGGCAATGCAGAAAGCAGCAAAATCAAGATCCCCAATGCATTCTCAGGTTTAATGCATATTGCAATGATATATGCTTTTTAATCTTATACAGTTATACTCGATCAAGTCATATATAGTGTTCTGGTCGATAAGTACTGTCCCTTCTCCCTCCAAATATAAGTTGACTGATTATGTATATGAAACAAAACACTTTTTGTTTGTTTTGTTTAGTTGTGACTTTCAAACTAACGCTTATGTTTGAAAATAGGACTCCGAGTGACGATAGAATGCAAGGCTGCCGATTCAAAAGCCCCTTTTGTTACTAAAGGAAGCGGGGAAATTGGCGAAACCGGAAAGTTTCACCTCAATATGCCTAATGACATTGTTGGAGACGATGGAGCCCTTAAAGAAGCTTGCTATGCTCATCTATACAGCACCTCCGGCACCCCTTGTCCGACCCACAACGGCCTCGAGGCCTCCAAGATCATTTTCCTATCGAAATCCGGCGAAAACCATGTTTTTGGTCTCAAACAAAGTCTTAAGTTCTCACCAGAAGTTTGCATCTCAAAGTTCTTTTGGCATATGCCTAAGTTCCATGTCCCCGATTTATCGTTTCCAAAGATCAAGAAGCCTTGTCCTCCAATCTACAAGCCACCAGTGGTGATCCCCAAGAAGCCGTGTCCACCAAAGATTTCACATAAGCCCATCTACAAGGCTCCAGTGCCTATCTACAAGGCTCCGGTGCCTATACACAAGCCACCAGTGGTGATCCACAAGAAGCCTTTTCCACCAAAGATCGCACATAAGCCCATCTACAAGCAACCAGTGCCTATTTACAAGCCAAAGAAGCCATGTCCACCACCAATTCACAAGCCCTCTGTGCCTATCTACAAACCGATATACAAGCCACCAGTAGTGGTGATCCCAAAGAAGCCATGTCCACCACTTCCCAAGTTCCCGTCTTTCCCACCTAAGTACATTCCGCACCCTAAGTTCGGGAAATGGCCTCCTTTCCCTTCTCATCCTTGATTGAGATACATATATAATTCTCTGTCTTTCTTAATTTAATTCAAGAAAAGTGAGCGATGCCAAATAATAATATTCCCTTGTTGCTTTGTTGAATTCTATGTAGATGATGTTTGATGTTTCTATATATATCTTTACATTAATCCCAGCCAATAATATTTGTAATTTTTGTTTCTCTTGTTAAATAAACTCTGTTTCTCTTGTACGTGAATTCCAAGTAATCAATTCCTCTTAAATGTCCTTATTGGATCGTGCATACGAGAGTAATGGGTTTTAGTTAGGCCCAATATCAGAAAAAGCATTATTCACAGAACCAGTGATCCTTATTGGATAATGCATTGTATTTATATGAAATAAAACTATGATATAGGATTATAGGATATTCAGACAATATTATTTTTTTCCTGTTTGTAATTAAATGATTTCCGTTTTTTCCTTAATTATCATTGGATATTTAAAACTTAAGAATACAGAATATTTTCGGTTCTTCTATTTTTTTTTTTGTTATTGTTGGTACACTTTCTTTCTTTTTTGTAATTTATTTTTAGTGAAGATTTCCTTTTTTTCCTAATTGTTTGGGATACAATATTTTTCTGTTTTTTCTTTTCATTATTAAAAATACATCTCGAAATAGTAAAATACCATTATTCTCTAATATATATCCTTTTTGTAGTAACGATTTCTTCTTTTGTATATTTGTTAATTTTAACGCAATATTTCCATAATTTTTTTTGTTAATTATATATATTCAAAATCAAGAAAAATACAATATTTCCATTAAACACTAAAGAAGAACTACACGTGTTGATTTTGTATTGGATAATTAAAGAGCATTTACCGTGGTCAAAAAACCCAACCCAACCACGGTTCAAAAATCAAAGGAGATCCCAACACGTGTATCAATCTAACGGCCAATAATAATATCTTTTTTTCACCAAGATATTTCTATTTTTCTTACTCTCATCCTCTCCCTCTCTATAAATATCTCCACAATGAATAGCAGAAACTACACACACACAAACACACTCTTTTTCTAAATCCTTCAGACCAAATCAATCGAGCAACAATGGCGTTGCATCCCAAAGTTTTCTTCGACATGACCATCGGCGGTGCAGCGGCGGGAAAGATCGTGATGGAGCTTTACACGGACAAGACCCCGAAGACGGCTGAGAATTTCAGAGCGCTGTGCACGGGAGAGAAAGGCGTGGGACGTAGCGGGAAGCCACTACACTTCAAAGGCTCATCGTTCCACCGGGTGATCCCTGACTTCATGTGCCAAGGAGGAGATTTCACCGCCGGGAACGGCACGGGAGGGGAATCGATCTACGGAGCCAAGTTTGAGGACGAGAATTTCGAGAGGAAGCACACAGGACCTGGGATTTTGTCGATGGCGAACGCTGGTGCCAACACTAACGGATCTCAGTTCTTCATCTGCACCGTGAAGACTGGGTGGCTCGATGGCAAGCATGTGGTGTTTGGTCAGGTGATTGAAGGCTTGGACGTTGTTAAGGCTATTGAGAAGATCGGCTCTTTGTCTGGAAAGCCCACGAAGCCTGTTCTGATCGCCGATTGTGGTGAGATCTCTCCTTAGATTCCGATCTAGGGTTTTAGCGGTGGTTTCTACAAGTTTCTTAGCTATGGACTGTGATATCATCTCTAGGCATTGATATTTTCCTAATAATTAATTAATAATAAAAAAGGTTTTTAATGTGGCTTTTTCTGATTCTGCTAAATTAAGTAAATAACGCTTTTTCATAGCATTTTTGTCCAATAATATAGAGCATAATAAAAACAAACCAATTAGAAAAATGGATATTTTCTTTTTTTTTGGACAAAAATGGATATTTTCTAACAAGTAAGCAAATAAGACAAAAGCGATGAGAGATTTAAATGGTTGATCCGTTACCTGGCATATACGATTGGGCCTTTTATACTAGGCTTAACAAGAGCAGGCATACGATTGGGCCCTTTTGTACAAAGCCCAATAAAAAGTGAGCATATTACTCGTCCACAATGAAATCAAGTCAATTAGGAAGGCTGGTCCAAAGAGAGTTTGAGTGCTGTTCCAAGTAATTCTTAATTTCTTATAATCATCATCATGGCCAACTGTGGTTTAAATAAAAATGAGTATGTACGACAAATTCATAGTAGATCAAATTTGACAAAAAAAAAAAAAGAAAAGAAAATTTCATATATTGTTTTGGTGGCTAATTAAAAAAATCAGTAGTAACATACAACATGATGATAATAAATCCGTGTAATGGTTGATGATACGCACCATGTGCTTGCTTAGTTTTGTATTTGTTTCCTCACGCAATAACAATATAGAGAGGCCAACGTGATCGTACCCAATGCTCCTTAGATACTCTCCTTCTTTTTGTTTTATATATGAATGAACCGTTAAAAAGTATAAAGTGAAGTAATTAGGTGAGAAATGGTTAATGTGGTTACCAAATCCAATGAGAGAATGAATTATACAAACGAATTGAAAATTCCAAAAGAAGAAGAAATTGAGCCAACGCTGGCTGCTGAATGTTGCCGATGGCTACACGATACAGTAGTGATGGTGATGTAATGTAATGTACTATAGCAGCCTAGTAAGACAATTGTGAATTATTATTAATTAAACCGAAACGCGTACCGGACCCGGTTTAGACTCGGCAAGACCCACGAATTTTCCTGAGCTGTCGTCTCGCCAGAGGTAAACACAGAGAGAGAGAGAGAGCTTTGTAATCGAACCAGATCTCTCTCTCTCTCTTCTCTCTTCTCTCTCTTCTCCCATTTGATTTTGAATATTCAGCAGCAAGCCAAAATCGCACAAGTCGTCTCAGACGGCCGCGTTGCATCGGACCACTTGTTCGCTTCTCTTTCGTCATCCATCTTCCATCATCTCCTCTCTCTTTTACCAGCTCCTTTCAAATTGCTTCTGATCGGATTATATAATACATCCCGGAGAAATCAACAAGGAGGAGATAGGATTACACGAGAAGAGAGCGCTGTTCTGTTAGACCATAGATTTGACTTCAATTTAGCTTCCGATTTCAGAATATTTTAGGGTTATTTTTGTTTTGGCTTCTACAAGGGGAATGGAGTCGGACAATGGGAAGGGGTTGATACTAGCTGTAGCCTCAAGTGTTTTCATTGGTTCTAGCTTCATTCTTAAGAAGAAAGGTCTCAAACGAGCTGGTGCTATTGGCACCCGAGCAGGTCTCCTCCTCCTCCTCCTCCTTCTTCTACCCCTTTCTCATTATTTCCCTTTTTATCACTCTTGCTACTTCTTACCAATTCACGTTATTGCTCTGATATGTAACGTCCGTCTATTACTGTGTGTAGCTTTAATGGATTCTATAACAGTTATCAAATTAGTTTTATAGCTTTAATCATCTGAAACAGCAAACCACTATGGATATCTTACATTGTATTGTGTGATTCAACTTGATGGTACAGGGTATGGAGGTTATACATACTTATTAGAGCCTCTTTGGTGGGCGGGCATGATCACAAGTTAGTGTTTTTACTCTCTCTTATTGGACTGCCTTGTCCCTGTTCTAAACAAAGATTTATGTTTTCTTTATAATTGTCTAGTGATTGTTGGAGAAGCTGCAAACTTTGTGGCTTATATTTATGCACCGGCTGTACTCGTTACCCCTCTTGGTGCTTTAAGTATAATCATCAGGTATGTATGTATGTATGTGATCACATTGCTCAGTTACTCACTTCTGTTTCTGTGTGATATTTATTTTTCTGACTAACCTCTCTTTTTCACTCATTTACTAGTGCTGTTTTGGCACATTTCTTATTAAAAGAAAAACTTAAGAAAATGGGAGTTCTCGGATGTGTTTCTTGCATTGTCGGCTCCGTTGTTATTGTCATACACGCACCAAAGGAGCAGACTCCAAATTCTGTTGAAGAAATATGGAATCTGGCTACTCAGCCAGGTAGCTCTCTCTCTCTTTCTCAGTAGTCAGTATCCTGCCTTCTGTGCAGTTGTTTATCTGAGAGAAACACAATTTTCCTTTCTTATCTATGAAACAGCTTTTCTTATCTACGTAGCAATAACCATGTCAATTGTCCTCGCTTTAATTCTGCATTTTGAACCCCTGTGCGGCCAAACAAACATTCTGGTTTATATCGGAATATGTTCGTTAATGGGTGCTCTCACTGTAAGTTGGTTAATCTGAGCATCTTGGATTTACTTTTCGAACTCCATTTCTATGTTCTTGTGCACTTATTGCTCTAGTTATTTCTTGTTTGTGTCTTTAAACAGGTTATGAGCATAAAAGCTATTGGAATTGCGATAAAATTAACAATGGAGGGAGTAAGCCAGATCGGGTATCCACAGACGTGGCTTTTTGTCATGGTTGCAGCAACCTGTGTAGTTACACAATTGATTTACCTAAACAAGGTAAGCTCTTTACACCAGATACTTTTTGGAAAGGCTATATATACTCTGGAGTCAATAAGTTAGTATGCAAGTGAAAGTAGAACATTTATATTGTTAAAACGAAAATTTAATCAGTAGATCATTCCTCAACTTAATTCCAGGGTCTGGATAGCTGCATCTGTAGCATTGCATGTCTCTTTTTCCGGCAAACATAGGAACTCTAAAATTTCACTTGGACTTACTGATACTTTTACGTGTTTCTATTTGGCATACCATTCCCGTCTCGACTTGAGTCCTAAGATTATTACTGTTATGATTTTTTGCAGGCTTTGGACACATTCAATGCAGCAATTGTTTCTCCAGTATACTATGTAATGTTTACAACTCTCACAATTGTTGCTAGTGCAATAATGTTCAAGGTAGGTTCAACTAGATAACGTTGAGATTCCCAAAAGATCAGTTAAAGGGAACACTTGACATTGAAACTCGGTTTTCACAGGATTGGTCTGGGCAAGATGCAGCCAGTGTAGCTTCTGAATTATGTGGATTCATAACTGTGCTCACAGGCACAATGATACTACATGGCACAAGAGAAGAGGAACAACAAGCTTCTTCAGGTAAAAAAAAATACCTGCCTTTTCCATCTTCGATCATATTTGCATCTTGTGTTGCCATTATTAATGCTGGTTTCATCTTTGGGTCTTCAGAACAAGTAAGATGGCACGAGTCAAGAAAGAGCATGAACGAAGAACATCTGATAAGTCTGTACAGCCCTGAATACTAGGAAGAAGAAGGTGCCATCTCTAGACTCCCAATAGACTGAATGAAATTTTCCAAAGACAAGCCTCAGGGATCTTATAACTGATCAATCAGCATATCTGAGAAGAGTGATGTCGGATTCGTTTTTGTGTTGTTTGTGGTCTCTGTACAGACAAAAGTTTGTCTAGTTACAACACTTCACATTCTTTAGTTTTGATTTCTGTGTATTTTCTTAGTACAGTACAGGTCTTCTTTTTCTTATCTGGGCTTTTGTCCCAATTTACTGTTATATATGTTATATGTATCTTCATTTTTCTAGGATGAAATATTCCTTAATTGTACTCGATTCACTGGAAAATAAAATAAGGTAAAACTTCGATGGGAATTGACTACTTGAGAGAGTTAACAATAATCTCAAAATCCACATTTCAAAATCCATGTGGTTGATTTTCATAATCAATAAAGAATTGTGCCGTCTATACTTGCTATAGAGGCGTTTGCAATGCGAAATGAAATGTTGCACATCATTTCCTTCGCTCATCTAACTTCAGTCCGATCTCTAAAGGGCTATTCTGATTCTCAAGTGATCATCACGCTGATCAAGACGACTGGGAGCCATAAGGCGATTACGAGAATCCTCAATGATATTTCTAGACTCAAGGACTCCTTCTCCTTTGTCTCCTTTGTTTTCATTCCTCGTTTAAATGATACAGAGGATGACTCTCTTGCTAAGGTTGCTCTCTATTCCTTGTCGTCTATACCAATCTTTTCCTCTTGTGGAGAAGAACTACCTTTGGTCTGCTTCCTTTTAATATATTGGCGTTTGCACACAAAAAAATTTGGACAAATTAGTGAACCAATAACATTCCCTAAAGTGATAGATGTTGTTCGGTTGTAGGCTGAAACTTTTGTCTTTTGCTACCTCTGAACAAACTTCTATCATTTTAATATCTGACCTTATAGTGAAATCAAATTTTGGTAAACAAAAAAAACTGATTTTCGTGTATGTTAAAAAAAAAAATATTAAAAAGAATCATATTTTTGACAGAAATCTCAAGGAATTCATATTTTTAGTTGAAAATTGTGGAATTTTCTTTTCCAAATAAAATTATGCAACCAACAAAAGAGGGTTGTATAAAATCAAAGATCAGTTTCGCCCCTCGTCAAATTTGGATGTTCTTTTCAAGATCTATTGGCTAGTTTACTTCTGGATAGCTTGAGTATTTACATCAGGTTACATAGGAAGCTAGGGGACTTGAACTTGAAGCATAAATGATTCATTTCTAAGTGAGGTAATGGAACAAGAAAAAATATTCGGAAAAGTCACTACAATCCACGAGACATCCTTTAGATTACTACACATGAATTAATATGAACCGAGTTTTCTGAGTGATCCTAGTTAGATTTAGCACAAAAAAATGACGAATCATGTTTGCGACAAAAGAATTATATGTGAGTTTTGGTTCATGTTTTTCAAAAAAAATGGATGAATCATGTTTTCGACGGAAGAGTTATAGGTTCAAGCTGGTTGGCGGAAAATTTACAGATTCCTTTAAAGATGGCAAATAGCAGAATCATAGTCTCTACATGATTGTTGAATCATGCTTTTGACGAATTAAGCTTCAGTGCAAATTGAAGAATTATGTTGTGTTGTTGATGACTATGATAGGGATGATGATAAGAAGAAGAAAATTCGAATTAAACCAAACTAAAATTAAAAACCGTTACTTTAATTGTATTTTTCTTTTACACCCTCCATAATTTTCTTTCTAATTTTTCTTATGCATGCAGATTCAATTCAACGGCTATAATAGCAGAGCAAAGCTAATCTTGGCGAGTTTACCGAATTTCCAGGTTTTACATATATGAATTTCCCATTGTACAATAATTATTTTAAATATATTTTTTCACTTTCAAATAATTAAATACTATATGACACAAATTTTTCTGCCATAAAATTAACACACAAGTCACCAGCATCACCAATTATAGGTTACACACCAATTCAATAACATAGAGTTGATTAATTAGTTAATCCAAACAATTAAAATTATTAGGTGAACCATTACGCCACCACATACTGACTTTGTCACATTTTGTTTTCATACTTTTTCTTAGATCCTTTTTTAGTTTGGTTGAGCTAACATAGACTGAGTGTAGTTAGTCATGTGGGATGTTGGTTCCCCACAAATAAATACAGATTTTACCAATCACATGAGGAAACTCATTTTACTTTCACAATTACAAACACTTTGTTACAATTTAGAGCCCATTCGAAAGAAAAAGAATGAAACTGGCAAAGGCGGACGATGTACCAAGAATGCTAGTTTTGTTGATAACAATACTGCCACTGGCTGCTCAAGGATCGAGACTGTACAGCTGGGCTAACCGTCTCGAGGAAACAGGGAAAGAGAAGGTAACAAACCTTCAGTTCTATTTCCATGACACCTTGAGCGGCAAGAATCCGACCGCCGTTAAGGTGGCTCAGGGCACCGACACGGAAAAATCCCCGACGTTGTTCGGGGCTGTGTTCATGGTCGACGATGCTCTCACAGAGACCGCTGATCCCAAATCCAAACTCGTTGGCCGGGCGCAAGGCCTTTACGGTTCTTCATGTACGTACTATATTGTTTTTGTTTCTTCAAATATTATAGCACGGGTTTAGTACATCAATAATAACCGGTTTTGCATGGTTGGGATAGGTAAAGAAGAGGTAGGTCTAATAATGGCAATGAGCTTCTGTTTTGAGGACGGTCCGTACAAGGACAGCACCATAAGCATGATCGGGAAGAACTCGGTCATGAACCCGATCCGAGAAATGCCTATTGTCGGCGGTACGGGAATGTTCCGGATGGCTCGTGGCTACGCTATTGCTCACACCAATTGGTTCGATCCCAAGACCGGTGATGCCATCGTTGGCTATAACGTTACCGTTGTTCACTAAAAAAAGAGAAAAAAAAAAAGGCTTTGTTTGCGACATTTTAGCTATGCCTACATGTAATATTTCACAATTGGAGATTAAGTATTGGCGATCTACGAGATACATATTATCCATAAATCATCCAAATTATTTTAGAGGACTAGTACTGGCATTATTATGTTAGTCATCCACCCAAATCATAAGTAACAAGAAGATCCATTATGATAGAACAAGAAGGCCGTGGGCTGAAGGGCCTAAGCCCAAAATTGAAAAAGGATTGTCTTTGTTTTGTATGATCCATACCAAAGCCGAAACCAGATCCGGTTTCTAAACCCATTCCGACGGCATATGATTTCGTACCGGCGAATCTCGCCGGCGCAAACCCTTTCAGACTTGTGTCCGCCGGGAACGAATCGCAGCAAATCCTTAAAGTCTCCTCCCATGGTGGTTTCTCCCTCCAATGCCCATCAGTAACCCTAGGAAACGGCCAATCTGTGTCGCCCGATCGTTTCTCAGTAGACACGCAACCAAAGAAGAGCTCTCTCAGGCCGTATCCCGTCTCGAGTCCTTGACGAAACAAGGGATTCGTTTACCCTTTGAGCTCCTAGCGTCATTGCTCCAGCAGTGTGGAGATACCAAGTCTTTGAAACAAGGCAAATGGATTCATCGCCACTTGAAGATTACTGGATTCAAGAGACCCAACACGCTTTTGTCCAATCATTTAATCGGAATGTACATGAAATGCGGTAAACCTATCGATGCGTGTAAAGTGTTTGATAAAATGCATCTCAGGAACTTGTATTCGTGGAACAATATGGTCTCTGGGTTTGTCAAATCGGGGATGTTGGTTCGTGCGCGGGTCGTGTTCGATAGTATGCCTGAAAGGGATGTTGTGTCCTGGAACACGATGGTCATTGGGTATGCTCAGAACGGGAATTTACACGAAGCTCTGTGGTTTTATAAAGAGTTGAGGAGATCTGGAATCAAGTACAACGAGTTCAGCTTCGCTGGGCTTTTGACGGCATGTGTGAAGTCGAGGCATCTCCAGCTCAATCGGCAAGCTCACGGGCAGGTTCTGATTGCTGGGTTACTGTCAAATGTGGTGCTTTCGTGTTCTATCATCGATGCTTATGCTAAGTGTGGTCAGATGGAGAGTGCTAAAAGATGTTTTGATGAGATGGCAGTGAAGGATATTCATATTTGGACTACTCTTATCTCCGGATATGCCAAACTCGGGGATATGGAAGCGGCTGACAAGTTATTCTGTGAGATGCCAGAGAAAAATCCAGTCTCTTGGACCGCATTAATTGCTGGATATGTTAGGCAAGGCTCGGGGGACCAAGCGCTTGACTTGTTTAGAAAAATGATTGCTTTGAGGGTTAAACCAGAGCAATTTACTTTCAGCAGCTGTCTATGTGCCTCTGCGAGCATTGCATCCCTTAGACACGGGAAGCAAATTCATGGCTACATGATTCGTACCAATGTTAGACCCAATGCGATTGTTATCAGTTCTTTGATTGATATGTACTCCAAATCAGGGAGTTTACAAGCCAGTGAGCAGGTTTTCAGTCTTTGCGATGACAGGCAAGACTGCGTTTTGTGGAACACGATGATATCTGCATTGGCACAGCATGGGCTTGGCCACAAGGCCTTGTGGATGCTTGATGAAATGATCAAGTTCAGAGTCCAACCAAACCGAACGACTCTGGTTGTGATTCTTAATGCCTGCAGTCATTCAGGTCTGGTAGAGGAAGGAGTTAGGTGGTTTGAGTCAATGACTATTCAGCACAAGATTGTTCCTGACCAAGAGCATTACGCATGTCTAATAGATCTCCTAGGTCGTGCCGGTTGTTTCAAAGAACTGATGACCAAGATTGAGAAAATGCCTTTTGAACCCGATGAGCAAATCTGGAATGCAATTCTAGGAGTATCCAGAATCCATGGAAACGTAGAACTGGGAAAGAAAGCGGCTGAAGAGCTGCTCAAACTGGACCCTGAGTCGTCTGCACCATACATATTGCTGTCCGGCATTTATGCAGATCATGGGAAGTGGGAATCAGTGGAGAAGCTGAGAGGGATTATGAAGAAGAGAAGGGTGAATAAAGAAAAAGCTGTTAGTTGGATTGAAATCGAGAAGAAAGTTGAAGCATTCACTGTCTCAGACGGGTCGCATGCTCATGCTCGAAAAGAAGAGATCTACTTCATTCTGCATAATCTGGTTGCACTCATGGAAGAAGAAGCTTCAAGAACATGACCTCATATAAGAGATGCATCATTAAACACCTGCAATTTTTTCCCAGGATTGTACACTGTTAAAGCCTGCAAAAGCAGGGGTTTTATACGTGCTGTGTGGAATTTGTTTTAGCTTTAGAAGTTTTGTCAGTGTAACAGAGCTAAAACTACAGTCTTCAAATTGTTTGTCTTTTCTTCTTCCAGATTTATTGGTTAATAAAGAAACAAAATCAAAACTAATTTTCAGAAAAGAGATGGATCTTTCTAGTTTGTTTCGTATTGGCTACGCTATTATTAGTAATTAGAAAACGATGGAGATGGCAGGTGAGAGAAAGGGACATACAAATTTCAAGAAAAAGCGATACAGTTGGAGCAACCAATATTTATGTATGTCTATCAAACATTCAAACCCAACAATGCCACAGGACAATAACCTGGTTCTATCTGTAAAACAGGTGACCAAAATTTTTATTTTATTTTGGTCAAGCACCTGTGGCCAAGTGTTGTGCATCAATCAGAGTTGTTAGTTCCTGTGTAGATTAACAATCCAGTTGAACTCTCTCTTGCATCCATCGTTGGGAAAATCAGGCTTCAAATAAAGCCTTGATTGAAGCTTTTGCAGTGTTTTTTTGTTTGTCTCATTACCTTACTGAGTTCTAAGATAGAACCACGACCTTGCTCAAGATCCACATCACCAGCGAGAACTCAAATGCAAAGAGCGTATGGAGCAATCCCCTATCTAGTGCATATCCATATAGCGTAATTCCCTTGTTGTTATGTCGCAGGTATTCCACTGCAATGTAATTTTCCCATCAATTGTTTGCAAGTTATTTTGAAAAGTATAGAGAAAAAATAAAAAAAGAGCTTGCAATCTCAATGTAATGCACCTAGAGCTTGTCTAGCCTGAAAGAAGGAAGATAGATCCAGTGACGATGAGACATTGATGTATATGTTGTCGGATGAGTCAGTGTCACTCTCGGGTGATACGGCTTCAGAAGCGCATGTCAAAGCCATGTGCCACCTCGTTGCAATACACACTACTCCTTGAGCTCTGTGTGTGATTCTTGCAGCACCCAACAAGCACAAGAAGAATCCGCTTAGCTGTACAGCAGAACATACCTTGAGATAGAAGAATATGTATGCTCCATTAAACTCAGAGTGCTGAAAGTAAAAGAATTATTACAACAAAGCTTTAGAGAATTACCACCAAATTACAGGAGCTGAGGAAACTCGTGTCAGACTTTGAGGCAAGAACCAACAGTAAGGCCACAAACTGACTGGTACTTATCACAACAAAGGCCGCTATAATGAAGAACCTGTACCTGTGACTTGTAGCCGACAACTGTTTCTTGATCCTCACATGTTCCCTACATACATCTTCTATGGTGTCTGGTTCACATCTATCGAACATCTTGTGAAGCCCTCGAAACCTTAGTATCTGCAGCTCACAGGTTAACCGGAAAAGGACACAAACAAGCAAGAACACTCCTGTCCGGTAAACCCATGAAAATACGACAAGCAAGAATATCACAAAGTTCAATGCAGCACAAGATGACTTTATGAAAGGAAATGATACTTCAGCGGAGGAGAAAAATATGCTCTTGTGCACAAGTTCCACAAGGAATGAAGGTACAAGTATGAAGGCTAGGTAATGTAAGGCCCTGTCAAGTTCACGTGAATATCCAAGCCTCACCAAGGTTGAATCATCAAGAAACAGAAGCTGTGTGAGATTATATATTCTGAAGAAACATATTAGAGTCAAGAAACCAATGACGGCAAGCCCAGATTCTGGAAATTGGACGAGCACATTGAATGAGTTGGCGTCCATAACAGATGAAGGTCGGGTTCTAGGAGTCTTGATGAACAGACAACTTATGAGAGGGACTAGTAAAGTGAAGACTACAAACATCATATAGGACATAGCTTGACCAGAAGGAGAGGAGTGATCCAAAGCGCACAACTTAAGGAGAAGACGAAAGTTGCGCAAATCATCAGAACGCAAGGATTTTGAAGGTAGCAAGGGTGTGTTAGAGTGGATCGGCATGTGATCAAGAAAGTATCCATCATCGCAAGGATTCATTTCTATCCAGATGAATCAAAGGGTTGCGGTATCACCTAAGTTATAAATATAGGAAGTCCAGCGAAAAGAGAAAGTGACAATTCAAAATAACTACACCCACATGCACTGCAAGATGTATATAGGTATTTGGTAGAGGTCTTACATTTTTTCATCACAAGCTATGATTGATCAAAAAAGAGAAACTGGAGAGAAAAGCAAAAGTAGCTTTGCTTTATCCCGTGAATTAAAGAGTCCTCTCTCTCTCTCTCTCTCTCTCTCCTCTACTACTTTTAACTTTTAAGTACTCCTACTTGGCCGTGTGTATCTTCCCCCGCAAGGTAAGCCTTTTCAAGTCATCATTCAAGTAAATCTATGCGGTTGAAAGACACGAGCGGTCTGCTATGCAACACTTTCATCCACAACATGATGTCGCTACTAAATTTCTGCTTGCCTCTGTTGGGAGGAATTGTATCAGTTTACGCAGGAATTAAAACACGGCTTGTGTTTTCTGTGTATGAACATGTGCTTTATATTCTTTTTCATCCAACTTTGGCCAGATGCCATTCTTCAAGTCAGAACAGTGCCCTGGGAGTGGTTATTGACAAAATTTGGACTTCATATTTTCTTCCAACGAACCAAAAACTATAGAGAACAATCCTGCTCCTGCATATGCATATTTAACTGGACAATTCAGTTTTCTTCACGTTGATAACTTACAGCAAAGTTTTGGTACAAAGAAGTAATACTTTAAAGCAAAATTTGGGGTAACCGAGCAAAATGACTAACCTGGGATATCTTTCTGCTGTAATGATCCTTTTATAAGCAATGTTCCTGGCATCTGGTGCAACACCTGTAACAGAAATTTCACCATCATACGCCAATTTAAAATGGTGGATGCAATCGTAAGGGATATCTTAAATCAACCCAAACAAACCAAGATGCGAAAAGATAGGTTATCTTCAGGGACTTGCAAAGTGGAGCCAACCAGTGACTGTTTTTCATGTATGTGGCTTCTTGCACTAACTACATCTGTAGTAACATTCTTCAAGATTATATTGCACTGGTCATTAGACGCAACAATCTACACAACAATACGAGGGAACTCTGTTGAGCTTGAGATATTGTAGAAACAAGATTAGATGGCAAGACAAGACAATACATGTAGTGCACTTACATCAACAGAAAATGTAGAAGAGCTCAATTTGCACGAGGCACCACAGCTCTTAAAGAATTCTTCAACTGATTGTAGCACATCAACGGCACTGTACTGCCATTTTATGCCCTACAAGACAAAACTAAATCCCGAGACTTTTATATAGTCACAGAGCAAATATATTTACCGGAGCATGTAAAAGATGACGAAGGTTATAGATAGGTTACCTCAGCATAAATGAAATAACACTCTTTTTGACTAAAGGAGGTGTTATTATCTTCCTAGCTGTGGGCATGAAGGACCAAGCGAGTCCCCAATGTATGACCCTGGACAAATTCTGTGGTCTTCACAATTGTAACACCCACTTCCCAAAGCTTAGATATCAAAAGCTTGAGGGTAGCCTTCTTCCCAAGCATTGAGGTGTACCACCTGATATAAAACATGATTGCAAAAGATAAATCCTGGTGGATGGAAACCAGAAAGCAAAAGATCCAAAGGTATAGTTAGGTAAAATTACCTAAATCTTTGCCTCAGTACAGCACTATCTTCGATAATACGGGACACAAAAGCTTGCTCCCCACCATTGCAAACCATCTCCTCAGGAGTTCCACCACATGCAGTTTTAGGGTTAAGGCCTGATTCTTCAAAGGTCTCAAAAAATGGAGGATTAGACATACAGAAGTCGAACGTTTCATTTTCCTTGACAACACCAAGTAGTACGGCTGGTTCAGTATAGCTCTTGTTGTCATATACAGGATAATCAGACTGAACCATAGCGGAAGTTTCGGCTGCCTCAGGTATGGTTTTCTCATTCTCTCTATTTTCAACCTCAGGGACAGAGGAACGCTGTGGAAGAAGTTTAGAGTCTCTGATCTCAATAAGGTCTGAGATATGGGGATTACTTTTGACATTCTTACCTGCCCATTCCAGAGCTACAACAGTATAATCTGCGTATCACAATATTGGCACCAACTGAAAACATAGAGCCAACTAGTAAAGAAGCTACGAACAATCCAAATAGAATAAAATGATAAACGAAGAAGAAACCTGAGGCAACAAAACTCCAACCAAAAAGGGAAGCATCAAGGAGAGGATAAATGCAATTGGCACCTGTACCAATGTCAAAGCCCTTAACTTTGCTTCAGTCACCACCCAAACTCTGAATGGTCTCAGAGGACAAAAGGTCATTGGTCCAATAAATGTAATTGGATCTATCAGGAACAGTAGGGCAAAGCTGTCCGTCCGGTCGCCTTGGTCCAGTGGTATAAGGATGTAAGTCCCACCACCTGGGTTCGAGTAGCATTGGCCACGGGAATTCGAGATTTAACATGGTTTTCCTCGGCCCTAGGAAATTAGTCTTTAGGCCTTTGGGATCACTCCTAAGTTATCAAAAAAAAAAAAAAAAAAAAACTGTCCGTCTGGAATATAAGAACTTTTGTAAATACAACACACTCGTTGAGAGCAAATTACTTTGTACAATTGAAACATACCAGTTGACGCCATGATCATGTACAAGGAGGGTACGAGTGAGCTCTCTGGTGGCATTGTTCACCGGAGAAGAAAACAAAGGGTTTGAAAGAAGGATAAAGAGACGCCAAGTTGGCAAAATCGGGTGGGTTATTAGAGTATTTGCTTTGGGGTTGCTTAGTTGATCCAGGTTCTGACCGAGCTCTCTTCTTCCTGTTCCGCATCGGAAACTACTCCGACAGATATAGCCTCCAGGAAAGTGGGTGAGAGATAGACGTTAAAGCTTCTAAGATTATATATGTTGATGTTACTAAACGCCACCGTTTGAGGTGAGTTACTGAGTAAGCCGTGTTTGTTTTTCGAAATCAAATATTAATCGTCTTCATTGAATTAATTACTGAGTAGAATCATACAAATTAATTGATACATTCGAATGAATTCAATTGTGCTACAAATTAATTGATAATTCAAAAGATATAATTCAATAAACAAACTCATCTTTTCATTGAATTATATTGGCGTAAAACTGAAAATTTTGCAAAATGGATAAGTATTTTTAGTTTGGGCAAATTGTGAGTACGCATTGACAAGTCCCATCGTCATGTCATTCTTCGGATTATGCCCGTTACTCTTTTGACCGCTCTTTAAAAGTTTTGACTGAATAATACAAAAACAATAAAACTTTGGGGTCACTTTGTAAATACATTATTTTATTGGTTATGAGAGAGTAAATAAAATAAAATAGAAACAAACGGCACGCAGTTTACGTTCCCAAAATTGTGGGACTAGTCAAAATATCTGCTTACGTCCGTCAACTTTAATGTTGACTGAACCCAGCAAACAAAAAATAATAATACATTAATAAAGGATATGTATTTTTCCCATTATACCCTTTACTCTGTTTAGATCTTTTCGGGAGGAGAAGAAGAAGAAGATAAGCTCTGAACCATTTTCAAATTTCTTTTTTTTGTTTGTAATATTTAATTTTAAAATACATTATATTCCCTAAAACTTCAACTATTAGATTTAAAATCTAACGGCTGAGAAAGCCTCCTGCAAAGCATCCCCAACCGTCCAGATCAAAGCTGACCCATCCCTTCCTTTAGTTTCCCGAAAAGGAAAAATAATAATACAAATCTCGAACATTAACAATTTGAACATGGCCCAGTTTTTATGATAAAATTTATATTTAAAACAAAATAATTGACAATTTTACTATTTAAAAAAGATTGTTAGTATTTCTTTCTATTAGAAAAAGTCAAGAAATAATGCAGAAAAATAGAAATAACGAATTTAAAATGGAAAAAAAATACGTACGTTAAAATGGGAATTATGAAAAAAAGAAAATGTGAAAAAGGAATAATAAGAAATATTGACGTGGCAGTAATAGCCTTTGCACACATCTCTCGCAGATATAAACAGCGTCTCCCTCACGCCAAAGGTGAGAGAGGGGAAAGATCTGATCGGTGATTTTTTTTTGTTTGGGTTGGTTCGTCGGAGTTTTTTTTTGGATCAGAATGAGCGGTGGCGACGAGAACATGAGTGGTGGAGAGAGACGTAAGGGATCGGTGAAGTGGTTTGACACACAGAAGGGGTTTGGTTTCATCACACCAGACGACGGTGGTGACGATCTCTTCGTTCATCAGTCTTCCATCAGATCTGAAGGGTTTCGTAGCCTCGCCGCTGATGAATCTGTTGAGTTTGAGGTTGAGGTTGACAACACCGGCCGTCCCAAGGCTGTTGAAGTGTCTGGACCCAACGGTGCTCCCGTTCAGGGAAACAGCGGTGGTTCATCTGGCGGTGGACGCGGTGGTTTTGGCGGTGGTAGAGGTGGGGGACGTGGTGCTGGAAGCTACGGAGGCGGTTATGGTGGTAGAGGTGGCGGTGGCCGCGGAGGAGGTGGTGGCGATGGTACTTGCTTTAAGTGTGGTGAACCAGGTCACATGGCGAGAGACTGTTCTCAAGGTGGCGGTGGCGGTGGCTACGGAGGAGGTGGTGGCGGCGGAAGGTACGGCTCTGGCGGAGGAGGTGGTGGTGGCGGAAGCTGCTACAGCTGTGGAGAGTCGGGACATTTTGCTAGGGATTGCACTAGCGGCGGTGGTGGCCGTTGAAGCAAACAAGACGGTGAAGAAGGGTAAAACAGTCATCTAACACATGAGAAAACGATCCTCTTCTCCCTGACTTCTATCAAAAATATTTTATCTCTCTCTCTCTCTCTCTCTTTTGTTATCAACTCTTTTCATCTTTTCGGATTTTATTTTAAAAACAATTAGGAACTTGTGGTTATGCTTATGAATGATGCTTTGCTTGTGATTGAGTAAGAAGCTGGATTGGTTTGTATTGCATGTATCTATCTCAACAAGTTCTTGCTCTATTCCCAAGTTCAGTTTAAGTTTGCTTCTTTTAATCCTCTTGATCCTTTGAATTTTTGACGTCTCTCTTAACTTATATGGCTGTGGTTTTTGGATGTTCATATTGCTAATGTTTAATCGATGAAAGATTTGGCATATATTATTCCTAAAGTTTGTTTTCTTCTTTAGTTTCCAAAGATTAAAGAGACAATAAAAATTAAACAAACTTTAGAAGCAAATTCGAACACAAAACACTACGGCCAATTTGGTTTCATCTAAACGAAACCCAAATCTCTGATCCGTGGGAAAACGCCACCTTTCGTAGCAGCTGAGAACACTCTTGGGGCCGGTTCTAAGTCATTCATGCTTCTAAGTTCAAAGGCCACGAGTGTGATTGAAGTGAGGATGGCTGATCGGTGGAGGCGCGGCAGTAACCGGTGCAGGGCATTGGTAACATTTGGTGAAGAGGCCAAACGTATCAATCTGGTGAACGAAATTGATCATACTAGCCCAACCACCAAACCCGAATCCAACAATTAAAACCCAAACAACTATGAAGGCATTGATGGTGAAAGCCCCAGTCCAACGTCCTAGAAACCTCGGCGGCTGCTCCACGGCGTTCTCACGTGCAGCGGAGGAGCGGAAAGTGAAGATGTGAGCTAGTGCAGGGATGATGTAGACAGTGAAGCTGACGAGAAGAGATCCAACGGTTGAGTTAATAGGGCCAAAGAAAGGGAATATGATGGCAAGAAACCAAATGGGTATAACAACGGGAAGCCTAGCGGCGGCTCGTTTACACATGCTCCTGCACTCATGCATCCCTATAAGCTTCTCCCACACGAAGTAGAGTGGCGTGCAAGCAAACCCAAATGTGATGAACTGATGGATGAGCATAAGCACAACTGCAAAGTCGCGGTAAAGATTCTTTGGGAGGAGAGCAAATGCGTTGGAATGGTTTAGAAGCAAATCACCAAACGCCCAATAAACCGCAGAAGCAGAAGGCAGCGTCAGCGTCAAGACGTAGAGTGTTGCAAAGAGGTATATCGACTTGAACTTCTGAGGCTTCCACATCGCATGCATTATCTCTCTGCCAAACACACAAACAATAAAAGTGAGTGGTCATTTTCATTTTAATCTGCGATTCCAGTTATACCCTTATTTAGGATATGTGAAATTGTGATGGAAGAAGAGACAAAGGAACATTAACATACACAGTAACAGCATGTCCACCGAATGTGTAAAGAATGTTTGTGGCCCCTGTGAAGTATAAGACCAGCTTGCTTGGTCCTGAGTGCTTCACTCCTTCTACCTACATTTTTTTTTATTATGAATATTACAACATTTACACTTATTATTATTATTATTCTGTAAGAAAAAAATTCAAGTATCTACAACTCTACAAGTATCGTTTATGCATTATAGGTTTGGGTAAAGTAGTGGTCCCAACCACATGTTGCTTGAAACAGAAGTGCCAAAAAGACATACGAAAGAAGACAACTTTGTTGGTGTTTTGAGTTCCCTTAAGCCACAACATCACCAGCTATTCTAATCTTAAATTAGTAAAACAGTAAGGAAAAGGATTAGTTATACTTTCTTACCTGTCCATGGAGGATGGAGGCAATGGTGAGGTACCAAGCAGTGTAAGTGGTCATCAAGAGCCCAAGGAAAGACCAGATCCTGTAGTTGTGGAAGGAAGGAATGAAGACTGTGGTTGCACAACATGCTCCAAATATGTATGTCCATGTCCTCTTGTCCAGGTTATCATTTATGTAGTATATGTTACTGCAACATTCATTAAACATTAAACCACACCATCAGTCTCCGTTTAGTGCTTATCCTAATCTTAACCAAGAAAGAGTTGTTATATATGTAATAGTACCTTGCACAGGCTATGAGTTGAATGACAGATCCAAAGAGAAGGAAGGTGCAGTTAAATGCTAACCCAACATTTCTCCAGTGCTTCCCAAGCAATCCATCAAGAACCTCAAACCACTTGAAACAAAACCCAACCATGTCAACAACATAGAGTACTCATCAAAACAAAAAATATATACTTTGGATAGAAAAGAGTAAATATATATTTGAAAGAAACCTGAATGACATGGTTTCTGAAGTTAACTTTCTCTCTCTCCTTTCTGGTTCTGTATTCAACATAGAGAATGCTTATGAGGTAAGCAGTCCAGCTCCCCAAGATGCCATAGAAGAGCTGAAACAGGATCCCTGAGAGCATTCCCAGCTGTGAGAACGAGTATGGTAGTGTCAACAGCACTTGCGCCACCTATGTACAACACATTCATCAGATTAAAAGCATAAACCAAAACTTGTTCATTTTCATGGGATGAAATGAAGAAAAGAAACCGTTACCTGGTTAGAAGCGCAGCTGAACCAAGCATCGTAGGCAGAACCACCATGCCAAAACATGTCAGACAACTTAGATTTGATGTCTGAAGCTTTCCCTTCCCTCTCCATCTCAACATAGTTCCCAACAACAACAGTCTCAGCTGCTTTCTCACCGTTCTCCATCTCTCTCTCTCTCTCTGTCTTTGTGATGAATCAAAGTAAGAGTGAAAGGAGAAGAGATAAGAATATATATATATATATATATAGAGAGAAAGAAAATAGAAAGAGATGAGAAGAGTGTGTAAACAGAGAGGGAGACACGGAAGTAGTTTTTCAAGGCAGGATGATGAGAAGCTTAACTCTCTTTGTTTTCTTGATAGCTACTTGTGAGAGTTTATGTTTCGGGAGTGACAACAACATCGAATCAATTCATATACATACATACATACTACTACTATTACTACTGTACCCTTTAAAGTATATTTATTATAGCCAGTATTCTAACAATTTATTACCAAACCTAACAAAGAAAACAAGTTTTACCATTACCCATTCCTCTTTTATTTTATTTGGTTATCTTTTAATACATGCAAAGTGTATACAACTTTGTTAAGGACAAAAGTGTTTTTTTTTTGTCATCTCAGTAACTAAATTACAAGCTTATCGGGACGAAAGTGTTTAAGTGTATAACTTTGTTATTTGCCGGCTAATATATACAGTATTTGTAATATTAAAGTCTATAATATATTTAAGTACTGAGTTGTTGCTTTTTCCAATGTCAGTCTAAGTACTGTTTTGTTGTTTTTAACAGCAAGTTAACTAAAAAACACAGATAAATTAGCGGCGAGTCACGTTTTGCTCGCACGAGTGGGCTTTCGTTTCTCGAGCAAATTATTCTAAAGCTCGTCGTTTAATTACTTGTAAGTATTTCTTAAACAAAACATCCAGTCACTTGAATATAAGTTGAACAAACTATACTATGTACGATATTAAAGTGTAATGTATATAAATGATCTCATAACTCTTGTGGTCTCTCAATGATACGAAAAGAACTTTTTGGAAAAAGAAAATAAAAATAAATGATTTGATAACAAGACAAAACTTTCTGAATGAAAAATCTGATAAATCTAGTACATTAATATTCTCCCATGATTCGAACAAAACATTTGTAAATCTCGATGTTGCTTATACAAGTACTCCTTGTATTTATTGATCTAGATTTCTTTTCTTCTACCTTTTGTTGAATTTAATAGGGATACTGCCATAGTATTTACTTACACAGCTGTAAATATTTGGTAGTCAAAAGATAAAACAAGAAAAATTGTCTTTCAAATTCAATGCAAAACACACAAAAACTTTACTCTTTTTTGTTTCTCTCTCTATTTATTATCGTTTACCAATATGAGTTTGATATTTCAAAATGAATTAAACATTGTGGTAGATGACAATAGTTAAGTTGCAATTTTAAAGAACTAAAACAAAAATGATAGAAGTGTGTCTAGTAAACACTGTTTACCATACTAAGATAGATAAATCTTGTATATGATCTTACACATTTGAGGTAAATCATTTTTAAGAAAATATAAAATGAAATACATGTAATACAAAATTGATTACCAAATAATGAAGGCCAGAAAAAGATTAACATGTTAGTGGGACTGTAAATAGATATGCCAAATTAGCATATTTAACAGTCAGTGAATCTGCTAAAGTAGGAGATGAAAACATGTTAGCAAAATTATATCTTATAATCATTCTTATAATCTAGTCTATAGAAATATGAAACAAAACTTAAACAAAAATAATATTTTGTGAAACAAAAATCAGTAAAAATGTGCACTTAATCTCATACCTCAAACGTTTTTAGCCTTTTTAATTTAATTCTTAATACACAGTTTACCATTTTAGATAATCTTTTCACTGATAATTTTTTAAAAAAATTTAGTTCTTAATACACAGTTTACCATATTAGATATTTTTTTCACTGACATTTCACATTTTTGGCCGATGATTTATGTCATGGAAAATAAAATGATACATATGTAAAAAAAAAATTGATACATATGTAAACTTACTTATGTAGGAGGGGAAAAAGCCAAGAAGCATAGATAATGTGAAATGTATTTTTAATTTCTACTAAAAGATATGATAAAAATACGAAAAAGAGAGAATAATAATAAGAAAGTAGACCGAATCATTGCAAGAAAACAAGCGTGGTCGCTTTTAAATAGTAGGAGATGGGGAAACTCTCTCTTGCTTTTATCACATGCCTCTCTCTATCTCTGAAATTTGTGCTCTGTTTCTTATTATTCTCAAATTTATTACACTCTTTTTTTAGTACATGACATAGATCTTATAAATGTTATTTAGTTCTTTCATTCATCTATGGTGCACACAAATTAATTAAGTAGGTGAACATATTGGTTGTTTATGCTAACTTTTGGGTTATGGTGATTATGAAGTGCACTGATGATAATAGACACTTCCATTTGGTTATTTGGTTATTTTGTGAATAAAATGTGCCGATTTAGAATATTATTCATAATTTTTTTAGTCCGCATAATTTATTTATATTTGATCAGTATATTATGTTAGTTTGTTATTTTAAAAATTATTTAAAGCAATTTGTATTTGTTTTAGAATATTATGCATACATTTATTTCACGTAATGTTATTTTTTGTTTGATCGTTATACTAAAATTAATTTGTTATTTTTTTTTTTTTTGTTTTGCATCTATGTTAAAAAATATATTATCTTCATTTAAGATCAGGTTTTCATTTTTGTTTAGTAGTTTATATTATATTTTATAGTCTTTCACATCTATAGTTATATAGTTCTGCCAGTCAAAATAAATAATTTTCATACAATAGATCAACTGAAAATAAAATAAAATCCAGGCACAGTATGTGCTACTTATTATGAAAGAAATTAACTTTCAAAAGCCAAAAAAATATTTTGAATTGGATTTTTCCTCAGAGATGCATGCATGTTGTGAATATGTGAAGGTCCATACTATATATATTCCATAAGGACGCCATTAGCATATAAGTAAAAATGCTTAAGGCAAACCAATACAAACAAGTAGACAACCACAAAACAAAACCAAGTATTCTTTTTATTTATTAGATCATGTGGTCTCAAAAACAGACATCTTTTGTTTGATAATGCATATAATATTAGTGTTCTCATTCAAATGCATTGACTCAAAACAAAAACATTTATACAACTCATTTTAGTTTCAAGTTTACTGTCTTTTTCCAAGTGAACGTTGTTTCTTTATTTAGATTCTCCTCAATGAGCCTGATTATTAATAATTAAGCCTAATCAAGAACCTCTTCGTGACCTCATTGAGGTGCTTTTCTGATGCTAATATTATGTGGGATACTAAGTTTTTAATAAATAAGTATGATGGTGAATTTATAATGCTCTGCAATCATCATATTATAAGGAAAATAGTTGAATTTTAGGAGTCACTTGTTGCATCTTTTCATACATATACATATAGACATATTTATGATTTACGACCCTATCATCATATCTCATAATGCGGTTGTCTTTTCAATAATTATTATTATATACTAAAACAAAAATAGCATTGTAATTAGAAATAATGACAAAAGAGCATGCATGAGTCTCTCTAATATCTTATTATGTTGTTAATTATTTTCATAATTCTTTGACAATATCAAGAAAAATGAAAAAAAAACCTATCCTGACAAATCTTCTTATATTCTGTCAAGAATAACTGATATCAAAAATTTACAAGAGTAAATAATATCAAAATATATTTAGATTACTTTGTATACATAATTCATATTTTCAGAGCATTGGAATCATTTGTTTCTTCACATAAAAATATTCTTAAACATGGCTATATAATTACAACAAGTAATATAATGTGGATAGCTAAGTAAAACGAGGCTATGCATTGAGTGTAAGTGGAAATGGCTAAGGCACGCTTTCTCCTCGATTCAGAGAGATAAATTTCAAATTAACACTCTTACTATTATTTTTTCTGCTCTCTTTGTCTCCTTCATCATGATAACGACATTTAATATTCTCTTACCAATATTTATTTATTGCAAAAATCCCTATCAATGAAGCTGAGTATTTGGACCTGAAAAAAAAGAAGAAGATGAGTGTATTAACAAAGGAAAAGACTTGTGTCTCTTAGCAGTAAATACGAAAGACTTTATGAGTTTGTTGTTGTGTCTTTGGTCTGAAACTGATTAGACCTGGTCAAAACCAAAAGCTCCTTTTTTAATCAAATCTTTTGAAAAAGAAAACGTTAATACTGTTTGTTGCCTACTGAGCCACGCCTTTTACCACTACTTACCCATAAAGACAGAGAACATATTCACATACACATATGTTCGTTTCCATCATAATTTAGATTCCCATTGTTTGTCATCATCAGCCCACAATCATTTTCAGTTTCCCTTGTGTCCTCTGTTTTACCAGACATTCTTTTCAGACAAGATTAATCTGTAAGCATCGAAATAATAATGTAGTTTTGTTTCTCTGAGTCTGATCATCAGGACCAGCCATCATTTTTTATTTTTTGAAAAAAGAAAAAGTTTCATAAAACTGCCCCCAAGCCCATAAATAGTACCTTCAAAAGCAAGAATGATATAGTATTATAATGTTTCGAGTCCAAGAATATACATACTTAACGGCCCAATAGATAGTATCTCGGCTGTTCTGAGACTTCTGTTATTGTTGTTACACAAGACAAACACAACATCACTATCAAGTTTCAAGTGTTTTCTTTTCGCGTCAATACAAACCGGCGGGACAGTTTAGTTATCATTGGGGCGGAACTTGCAAGCTATCTTGAGGTCCTCCGGGGTTTTTTCCCCCGCGAATCCAGCGTCAACCCAAGCCGAGTAGCCTCCACCCATGTTAGCAACATGCTCGTACCCCTACCCACGACATATGTATGATGTATATACACATAAGTATGGTATACAATATACTTATAATGAAATGTATGAATATAGATAGACTCACTGCATTGAGAAGGTCAACACAAGCACGACTTGCTCTTCCTCCAGAGTTACAAGCCTTCACCGAATAATTAGTTACACATTAGGAAACGGTCTAACTGAGATCTAAATCTAAGATGTGAAACATTTCTACAATCATGATTTTAAGACTAACCACGATCAAATGTTCATCTTTCTTGCAAACCGATGCCACTTGAGGAAGGAAATCAGGATTTATAACCCTACCTACACACCACCATTCACAATCGTTCCAAGTTTCATTTGTGATCTCAACTTTGTTCAAAAAAAAAAAAAAAAACTCTTGCAAAATTTTTAGATCACCTTCATCAGTTTTGAACATATAAGGAATGTTCAAGGCCTCCTCAAAGTGACTCTTGGCGAATTCTTCATTTGTCCTACAATTACCGAAAAATGTCAATAATATTAAATAGCTACACATCAATCAACAAGAAGAGTTTAAACGAAATGATAATTTTCCTTATTTACCTTACATCGAGATATCGATGACCAGTAGTACTAAGCAAACCTTTTGCCGTGTAAACATCGACGGTCTCAACATTTTCAACTCTGTAAAATAACAAATTGACAAAAGAAACCTAATATACTTACTTGAACATTTACATACGGATTTGTTCATAAAAATCAATACTCGAGCAATAAAACTGTTTATGTATTATGTTACTCACGTCTTTGTTTTTGTTTCCTCCATGAGAAAGCCTTTGATCGGTTTGATCTTATTTCCTCGTTCGTCTTCTGCTATGAAAAAAGGTTGAAGAGAGGATATGTATACATAAAACTGTTCAACTTGATCATATATATTAATTTAATCAAGTTGATATTTGTATAAAATGTAACATGTAAGTTGACCAACTATTATTTTCTCACGTATTGATCGGGAAACTTGAAGCTAAAGAGAGTTGGTTTTGAAAATCTCAACTAAGTGTTTATTAGACATACACAATTGTTAATCATTACATAGCATTAGTTGACCACAACTACAAAACTGTTAAATGTGAAGAGCATGTTTTGGCTTAAGCAATGAGACAATGTCAACAACTAGCCGAACACTTGTGTGTTAATTTTGTTTCCTTTTAAAAACAGAACAATGGAAGCAAGACAGACTGTATTCAGTTTCGAACTTGCATTGATCTTTTGATCATTTTTGGTGCTGGTCAGTCTGGTTCAATGCAAATTAATCTTGAGACATATCTTTTCTCTACAAAATGAGCAGTGGAAACAGGGAGTCACACTACCGAATATCAGAGAGAACTCGAAGATACACAAATCAAAATAAAAGAAGGCTCTGCAAATCTGCCGTTGGTTTTAAAGAGTTAAAGCCAATTTTGTACAACAACACATAGTTTTTAACAACATCAAACCAATTTATCTCTTTCTTTGTTCATAAATCGAATAAGAAATCAGGAGGCAGTTCGCCACTCCAGCTCGATTTGGATCTTTCCGTTCTTTGAGTCGATAAGGTGAAACTTCTGATTCATCCTCTTGTTGTTCACCACGTCCACCACCGGAATATCCACATACCCCAATGTTTCCTGCCCATCAACAACCACTTTTAGATTAGACTAGTACACAACAATTGTTAGTGTTACTGTGCGAGTAAAACGAGTGTACTACCTTGGGATGCAAAAGACCTATCCTGGATGAGGTGCTCAGCACTTCCACGTGCAGCTTCTCACGGATGGGAGGCTCTTCGAGCATGAAGGAGAACTCCTCATTCCACCTTGGGTCTCTGTTCTTCTTCACGTGCTTTGTTTTCCTCTCCTCCCCTTTGAAATAGATGCGTACGTAAGGATTCGTATGGTGCTTTCCTTCAACATCCTCAGCCGAATGCACTATCACCACAAGCATTCCTCCAGCAGCTGGTGTGCCTTCTGGAGCTTTTTGCACAGATTGCGTTTCTTCAAAGCCTTTGGGCATTTCTTCCTCCGTGAATGGCTTATACAAGAGTTCAACCTCCAGCTTCCCCCTATACTTGTCAGGCTGCCCATCTTCACCGCCATCCAAAGTCTTACGCAGTTCCAAGGTGAAGGCTTTATGTTCGTCAGGCACCATTTCTTTCAGAGCTAATACATTCATACCCATCTTATCGTGCTTCCCAACCTGCATTGCAAAAATAAAACTTATACATATATTCTGCTCCATGCCACATGTCACCCTTTGGATAGCTTGTTACCTGTTCCCAGTCGTACACATTGAACTCTAGAATCTGAGTCTGGGGATCTCTGACCGAGAATTTGAACTCTTCATTCCATTCAGGATTCAAATTCTTGTGCTTAACAGTTGTCTTCTTAGAAGGAATCTTATCTTCAGAGAGCTTGATTTTCACATATGGATCTGCCCCACCCATCAGATCTTTTTTCCTCAGCCCAACAGCCTTTACAACTTTCACATGGACGATTCCAACAGGCCTTCTGAACGCTCTGCAGATTATAAATTAAATTTTGCTCAGCAAAGGTGAAGGTTTAAGGTATGGATTGATTGTTCCAAAAAAAGGTGGAATGGGATACTTCGCAGGGTCAAGGATTGGAACTACAAGGGTCTTAGGCCAGAGATACATGTTCGCAACTTGATCCTTTATTTGTTCCTGAAATAATCAACGCAGCAGTGTAACTAGAAACGAACATCTGATGCAGCAGAAACGTAAAATTCTAAAAGACCAAACCAATTCCACCAAATAAGAGATTGGATATACAAATATAAATGCCGATCACAAAGGATGTCACAGTGTCATCAGCCCATTCTGTCTTACAAGATCGAAACAAACCCTCTTCACAAACCTGGAAGACTAAATAGAGTGTGTTGCACCCTAAACTGACTAAACATAGCGCTGCCGAAAATGTCAATTTCTAAGTCATACAAGACAGGGATCTGAATGATGTAAGAGAAATATATCAACCTGAACAAATCTGTAGAGGCCAGGGATTGACATAAGATCGGCTCCACCAAGCTTCAGTCCAAAATCAACGTGTGGCTGCCACAGTAGCAAGAAACAGTCAACAGCGCAAAAAATATACCAAAAGATCTGATAAAGAGGCTGACTGGTACACAAAAAATGACCTTATAAAAAAATGATTGTAATACAGACCTTCTCCATTAGAGACACATAGATGTTGGCAAAACAAGGAAAACTTGGGACTAGTGGCTTGAGAGTGATACGAGGCTCAGCAAAAACTTGCAAATCGACCACCTGAGAAAATTTCATCGGTTACTGAGGGACAGTCATGATTGCTATTAAGTAGGCTGTTTCTTCTTTTAAGTTTGATCTGCAGTTAGAGGGATATCTTATTACCTGAACTGTTGCCTTCAACCCAAATGCTTTGATGGCAACCAAGATATTGGGATTTGCGGCCCATTTCAAACATGGTTCCATAATTAACTCTTTCTCGTCTGTGAGATAAACTTTCATACCTGATAAAAGAGAAAAGAAAAATAAAACCCATTAGTCTTGGAATCAATTCATAATCATCTTTGGCATGTGGACCTTTTTTTTTCACCACCAACTCCCCTCCAGCTCTTAGTTCAGACATGAGAACATGACACTAAAGGAGAGATTGAGGAAGAGAAGAAACGATTAACACACCTTGGAATGTAGGGGGTAATGAGCCTAGTGTAAGAGTTTCAAACTCAACAGAGTCAATCTTGTACTTAGGTATCTGCTCCTCGATGATTGGCTTTGCTATATTCTTTGCAGTCTTACATATGGCCTACATAGATACAATTGGAGAAACAAAATGCAAACTTTAAAAAATGAAGTTAAGAAACTGAAGTATCACGAGAAGATAAATATGAGAAAGTGCAGGTAATGTAACCTTGTCGAGATAAGGCCACATGTACTCGATAAATCTGTTTATCCAGTCAACCTAATTCATAAGAAGATAGAAGAAACAAACATCAGAACCTGAGACAAAAAGATAAAAGTCGTGATGTCAAAAGGAAGAAGAAGATCACATACACGATCGAAATCCGGATTTTTCACCCATAGCGGTATCTCTGGAAGCATCCGTTGCATATCTTTAGGGTCTTGGTCAGCTATGGAACGAATTTCAGGATCCTATAAGTGCAAAAGGGTAAAAGCAAATTCAGGCATACGTTCCATCACAAGCCGACTGTAAGTATCACCAGGAAACAGTGTTTGGAAAATTGCTATTCTCGGATGAAAAACCAACTTGGACACATACAAGACAAGTCTACCCTAACGGCAAAATCACAACAGTAGGAACAAAACAGCTAAGAAGACTCCATATATTTATAAAAATGTCAATCATAGAGGGCAACAAGTTGATTCCATATACTAATCCTAATGTAAGCTTATAGACAATCGAACTTGGAACTTAGAAAAACGCATATCTGGTGGATAACGAATGACAAATAGTCAAATCGCCAAAAGAGAAAAAAAAAAAAAACGAACCTTGACGTCGTTGGGCTGCAAGTAGACGAACATAACGTAGCCAATGACAAGTCCCAACGAAATCCCAACTCCAAATCCACAAAACCCTAGTATCGTACTGAAAAAACCCATCTTGATTTCCGTCGTTTCAGATCCAACAATTTCTTCACAGCGAACCCAAAAAAGGAAAAAGGAGAAAGCTTTATCGTAAAATCAGATCAAGAATCGGGGAGGAATCACAGAACTCGAAAACCCCTTTGGTCGGTTTAGAGAAGAAACGCAGGAGACGGAGGAGCAGAAGGCACTAAACAGTTCTCCGCCGTCGGAACCGATCAGAGGTGGAAGAAGGACAGAGATTAAAGTGAAGAGGGAATTTGACTAATCCATAGAGATGAAAGAGCATTGACTGAGATCCATGGACGTGGTAATCGGAGAAGATAAACAGATGTCGTGAGAATCGTGAAGCCCAGCAGGCAAGCAAAGTGTGTGCGCTGCTAAAGACACGGCTCGCTTATAATAATACCATATTCTCTCTTTCTCATTTTATTTTTTTAAATATACCAATTAAATTATTTATTTATCTCTTCGAAGAATAATAATAATAGCATCACTTTGGGAAACCAATCTTTTTCATTATGCGTTTCTTAAGTGATGATAATACTATAAGAAATTCTCATAAATTTTCTACATTAAGCAAGTTTTTGAATTTTGATCACATAGCCATCACTCATACATATATTTATCAATTAATTATACTTCAAATATCTCTTGGGTAATGAAAGTTTTTAAAATAATGAGTGTACTAAAGAATTCTTATATTGGGGGCCCATCAACATGTCTATCGTTTGGAAGAGCCCATTGATTATGACACGTGGCAAACCATTAGTGGATGTTAGTAGCAATTATAGGGCCTTGTGGGTTTGTTGATGGACCACGCTGAGTTGTATTTTATTACATACATACGAGACAAAAAAATGCCGTGCCGACACAATCGTCACGCAAAAATTGTTCGGTTTATTGTGAACCGCACAAACCGTCGGTTTAGCGTTTCGGCGGGCAACGGAATCAGTCTCCCGCTCACAAGTGAAGAGAGATGTTGAATGTTTTGTTTTGTGTGTCTTTGCTTCGCGATTGAATCGAGAAATTGAGGAAAAAAAAATGGGAAGCGACCAAGAGGATCTTGATTTGCTTCTGTCTCTTGACGAAAGAGTTCTCGAAACACCTCCAGCTTCTCCTTCTGCTACACCCGGTGAGCCCTTCTCTCCCTCTCTTCACATTTTAGGGTTTCGCTTTCGAAGATTCCGATTTGTTTTTCTGTTTCGATCAATTACTTACATGATTAGAACTAAGATTGGAAATTTTCATCTGGGTGCGTCTTGTTCTCACTCAATTCCCTCTCACATGTCTAAAGTTTGATGCTTTTTTTTTTTTTTTTTTTTTCTTTCTATTCTATTTGTTGTGTGTCCTCCTTAAAAATGCAATGGCATGTTTGTGCAGGGTACCTCACGGATGATGAATCCCCGAAACGTAGGGGTCACTCTGACTTGTCTGATTTCAAAAGTGTTGTTCAAGATTGCATTGATTACGATCCTAAACCACTCGCAAAAATTACTAAACCCAAAGGCTCTAACAACTCTAGTGCCAACGACATTGACAAATTTTCTGGCTTGCGCATTAGGTTTAAACTCAAACCTTTTTGTTTGTTTCTGACCAAATGTATATAGTCGCAGATTGTCTTGTTTCTGTTTTTTTTTTTCCATCTCAGTCCATTGTTGAATTAGCCAGTCTCATGATATTTTGTAGGAATCAACTACTTAGCCCTGCTGAGATTAGTGATCACTTTTCAGATATTCGTTTCGTTCGATTGCCAACTATAAAGTAAGTTCACTTTCTTGATTGAATGGACATTACTAAATTTTGGATAGCACAGGACTTTTAACTGAAACAAGTTTCTGTCTAGGAACTTACTAATGGGTGACAAACTCTCTGGCTGCTGGGCGACAATCGGAGTGCTAACAGAGAAAGGACAACCCAAAAAAAGCTCAATAGGTCAGCCTTATGGCATATGGAAAATCGGCAGCTTAAATGAAAGCACTGTCTCCTTGTTCTTGTTTGGTGATGCTTACAAAAAGAATGAGTCAGAAAAAGCAGGAACTGTTTTCGGCCTCTTCAATTGCTCAGTTCGCAAGGACAAAGTGGTAAGCACAACTTTGCATGTGAGTAAGTAGCCTGATGGCTTAACTACATCTCATTGATAAAAATTTGTGTTTGTGGCAGGGGAGTGAGTTTTCATTGAGTGTCAACTCAGCTAAACAAATGGTCAAATTGGGAGTTTCGGCTGATTATGGAGTCTGCACAGCGAAGCGGAAAGATGGAACAACTTGTACATCTGTTGTAAACAAGTGAGTTACTTTGCCCATGCGTCTCATGGTGTCTTGTTTCTGAATGTTGAGTTACAACTTTGAATTTGATTTCAGACGCCAAGGAGCATTCTGCAAGATTCATAAACTGGTACATGTTGGCAATACCTTGGTCTTGTTTTCTGGCGTCAATGCAATGAACCATGTTGTTAACTAATTATGAATTTTGCGCAGAATGCATCTGACAAATTTGCTACAATGAGAACTGAACTCAAAGGAGGGTATGTAAGTTCTGCCTAGTTGTGAATTCATAGATTGGTCATACCATGAGTGGGACATTTTCATATTCTTGGGAGCTTTTCTATTTCAGGAACTTGAGAACAGCTTTCAGAGATCTAAAATCGCAAGGGATTTACACAGTGGAGTCACCAGCAGAAAGAAGCGGATACAAAAAGGCCACTCACCCTGTCCGAGTACTATCAGTGGAAGGTCTCCGAAAGGCTTTAAGGTTGGAAATTCTCAACAAGTGTTTCACTTTTAACATAACGAACAGAATCCGATTTTCAGATTTTAATAATAACTTTGATCACGCAGTGGTGCTGATAAAGTGACCCCTAACGTACACTCACAAGGAATACGTTTCCTGAATGAGATGGCCAGTATGCCCCTTCCTTCTCATTTTGACACTATAAAAGATAAAGCTTATATGTTGAAATGTGACTGATCTTGGACTTACAGGACAAACAACTTCAAAGAACGTAAACAAGAAATCTGAAGCTGTGAATAAGTCTGCAGAGAAGAGGTACTACTACTATCTTCCGGAGTTATTTTTTTTTGAGTTGTGCTAATGTAAAATTGATTTACAAAGGAGATGTTCTGGATTTTTTTCTTCAGGAAAGGATCAACAAAAGAAACACAAGTAAAGAAAGAGCCGAAGAGAAAGAAAACAGAGCACAAGAGGGAAACACCCGAAATTTCTGCAGGAAAAATGATGGTCCTCGATCTCTGCAGCTCTGACGAAGAATGACTCCTCAAGAGACATACATTGTTAAACAGGTACTCAGGCCTTCAAATATGGGCGAAACCCTGCGTTATATGAAACCATAGACTTCGACCATATCCCAATTTTGTGGCTTTAGACGAATGTAAAGTGCCTCAACGTTTATTTGATGTTGAGATAGATTTTTGTGGTTCTCAAAATTAGTCTTGAAACCGGCGCAACAAGTACCAGCCATGGAAAAAAAACGTTCCATCTTAAACAAAATATATATATATTGTCACAGTTACCAAATATATGTTTATTGACAGTGTTGCTGGAACTTTGTCTAAGAAAATGGCTGGAACTGCAACGGGTTTATCTCTAATGATTTTGAATAGTAGTGTTGTAGGAACTGTATTCCTAGCTATGTCAAACTACATATGAGCATAAGTAAAATTAAAATAATTAGAGGAAAGGATAAATAGTGAACAAAACAAACAAGAAACAAAACAAGGGTTATCTAAGGAGAATCTAGTTATCAAATCAACAAAATAAAACTGCAAGAAAGGGTAGAAACAATAGAGTTTAACGAATGATATAGTAACGATTGAGATACGTGAGAGGATACCTGCCTCTACCAACCCCATTGTTACATGTGAGAGCTCTTCTGCGGCAATCTCAGCCTCCACGGCCATTCGCTGCACTTGCTCCCTCAGCTCGGCAAATCACTCAACGTCCTCTTTCTTTATCACCCGTCTGTTTGTTTGGTCTATAAGATAGGTCTCTTGGGCTTGGCTTCTTTAATGGTTTCTTGGATGGCATGGTAGGTATCACGGAGTTCGTCGGCCAAAGATTTGACATCGTTAGTTAGATCTTGTCTTGAAGCTTTAATATCCTCGTGGACTTTAGACCTCAACTCATTACGGAGCTCTTTCCATACATCGTCAACAATGAGGGGCATGTTGTCTCTCAGAGTTTCAAGTTGTGAGCAGATCATACCATTTAATTTCGTCATCACCTTCTTCTCATCTTTGCACAACTCGTCAAGAAACTCTCCCCATTCTTTTCTTTGAGTTTCAAGACCTGAGTTGATCATATTCTCCATATGTGTCATTGTCTTCTTCCCATCTTCCACTAACTCCTTCATTGTCTCCCCTTGCTTGGTCATATCACCTTCATCTCAAAGTTAACCAGAGACGGCGCCCCTTAACATAAAAGAAACATAAACACAATAGCTCTAGATCTGTATATATAGAGATATATATTACTACCAGGAGTCTCATCATTCTTAGATTGAGGTGAAGGATGTGGTGCAGTTTGATGAGATCTAAGGAGATACTCGACGATATAAATGGAGTGGATCAGGAAGGAGTGGAAAACAGTGAGACGCCAAAGGAAGAGTTGGAAGTACATTGGATTCCTGTCAAGCTAGAAATGTTAATTCACATTGCTCAAATTTCTAAGGTGCAGAATCCTTAGGCGTCTTTTCAATAATTCTGGTATGTTATTTCTTTCAATAGTTTGACTATGTCTTTGTCATCAAGCTTCACTGAATATGCTTCTACTGATTGCAACGGTTTTATCATAACACCAAGTTGCTACTTCAATCAGTTTCTGTCTTTATGCAATAGATGTCTTTCCACACAATCTCTTATAATCAATTACTTGTTATTATGGAAAGCTTTTCATTTCTAACACCGACATGTATTGATAGTTTAACAAGAAGTTTGAAACGAAATATGTAGCCTTAAAGTTTGGGAGACTACTTGTTATGCAGTGGGTTTAAGACTACTAACTCTAGTTCTGAAGAGTTCTAGATGATTGATTTCGTTTAAGCTACTTATCATAAGCTATATGTACGTTATGTTTAGCTATCGAATCACTTTGTTTTGTTTGTTTTAGATACTATGCAAGCATAGGTTTAGGGTTTCTATCCTGGGCTGAGATTCTGCATTTTCTCATTGTAGGATCATATTACTGATGATTTTGCAGATTGATAAAACTATCAGTACTTGCTCTACAAGGGAGGGAGCCCAATCCATATTTGATAAGTTTCATTATGTTTACTTAATTTAATTTCTTAATTTGGTTCATCTTTGCTTTTGGAGTAAAGTTAACATGTGTCTTAGATGGAGGATGATGAATGAACACATTTGATGAATTCTTCATGTTGCATCCATCCTCCCTTTTTTTTTTTGTATAAATTACCTTTGTTTGATCTAGAGTGGATATTGTTTCTAGGGCACTGACTCACATTGAGGGTATTAAGGAAGAAGTTGTTTTATCTCAGGCCATTGCATTACCTTTCATTGCAGCTGGGGAAGGTAATTGGAAGAATTACTGCTGAAACATGTTTTCAAATATGCATACTGGCCTCTCTTTATTACTGTTTTGATCTTAAATTGTATGCAGAACATCCTCATGTTGGTTCAAAGAAATTCAACTTGATGAGTAGTACATAACCTTGAATTTCTAATGGATACATCACAACTAAAAAATCTCAGACAATCACGAAGAAACATCAAGATTAAGATGCATTTAAGGGACAAGAGGTATGATGCAAGAGTTAATACTGGAAGAAGACTTAAATGATGATGGTAAAGGAATTATCACAGTGGCAGAGAAAATGATAAGTAAGATTAAGTTCTAGAGATTTTTTAAGTTAAGTACTCCTGAGGTTATTATCTACTTGCAGCTTCATTAGCTTAGATGTATGTCACTATAATCCTTTTTGAGGTTTTGTTTCTTCTCCTCTCTTTTGAGTTATTTAAATCTACTTTACTCAACAAATAATGTCAGACAAGTATTTCTGAACACTAATTCTCTTATTAAAAAGAATATTATTCTCGAGGTAGTGTCTTTTCTATGTTGAATTTGGGCTCTAAGTTTTACTAAGAGTACGTCTCAATATCTAAGTTCTTTGCTACAAGATGGACATATCCCACATCAACGTTTGATGAATATGTGATGGAGTGGAAGCGTCCCCAAACCAAGTCGTATGTGTCTGAGGTATGTGTATTTTTCATCACATTAGCGACATCATTGCTTCTAATTGACTTATATCGCAAACTTGACTTGTAATAACCTCTACTGTGTTTGTGCAATCAATTATGGTTGGGCATTTGCTGGTTGATTCAATGATTCCATGTCTTTGCTAGCTGCGCTAAGGTTAGTATCTATTAATGCATTTGATGTGTAGTAACAAATATATATTTAATTGCATAAACTCTTGTTATATGTACGTTTGTATATTCAGTGCAGAATTTTAAGTGCTTATTCTCATTACTATGTTTACGTGTTATGGAAAATTTTCAAAAGTAGCTTACTGATAGGGAATTTTTAAACGGATCCGTTAGTCATTCGTCTTGTAAGTTACTTGCATCTTCATGTATATATCACATATAACAGAGTATTGTGATATTTAATGCATGATACCATCATCTCTATTCCTATGTACTTATGTAGTATTGGACATACAACTATGTGCAGGGTCTCCTTTAGGTAAAATACCTAATGACAATTCACAAGCAACGGGAAGCTGTTTGGGATGGTGATGATACCTCCACCTGTATTATGCATTATCGACATAATATGGTTCAGCTTTCCTTTCCCTACTTAGTTGGATAGAAGTCAAAGAGGCTGCAGCTGCATGGGGATCCATATTAAGTCTTCTTCAGACATTAGAGATAAAGCACTTTGATTTGAAAACTGGGAGGATGGTGACATATTTCAAGGTAGTGCGGATGAATTTTCAATTATTGGTGTTGATGATGGCTTGTAAGCCTGTTTTCAGGTAACATCTTGGACTGCATATGAATTTTGTTGAGAAAGTATCATCTACACTAGCTCCATTCGCTCTTTTATTTACTTGGTCATTTGCCTTTGTGTTTTTGGGAGTTTGCATATTTTGAAACTTGCATAATATATTTTCATAGCACAGTATTCTGCTCATGTCTGTCAAAGAGATTGGAAAAACTTGTGGACATAAATTGCTAAGATTGATTAAACCATAGTTGGTTGTTTATAAAGTATTATAGCTTTCTAACTTGAATAATGTACACCGAACCTCTGTTGCAACAACAGTTGTTTAATTTGTACCTTTTGTGATATGGCAGCAAACCTCTGAGCTTTACCTTCATGAGGAGGTTTATAATAGTTTATAAAGGCTAAGTAAAATGTAAAGCGGTCCAGTATAAACAGCAAGATTCCTCCACTTCCCTTGTAAAACAGATCAACATAATGTCAAGTTAATTAGGTTCTTGTTTTTCCCCAATACAATTGAGAAGAGATATACTTAGAGATGGTCCAACTGAAGAGAGGCTAGGGAAAAATAAGAAGAAGGGTATTGCGAAAAGAGGAAGTGAGGGAGAATGATATGGATGATATATGGATAATGAAATCTAATAGGTATGTGGGGAAGATGACTAGTAGCAAGAGGAACAAACGCTCTATTTAAAACAATACATTTTTTTTAGTCTCATCTCTTTTCCTTCAACAAGATTCATCTTCATCATCTTCTAGATACTTAGTTCTTGCTACGTTTATGGGTATAAAATATATGAACAAAAGATATTCAAAATAATTGGCTGGTCATAAGATGCCTTGAAGAAGGGGTATTCCTTGAAACTTTTTGACCTTGGAGCTAAGAAATGTGAAGCTTTCGAGTCGACGAGCTCGAAACTGCTTTGATTTTCACGGACTTTAACCATCACTGCCATTCCTCCATGCCACTTTCCTTGAGATGCTTTAGGAGGGAGTTGTTTGGAGTTCAAAAACCACCAAGGCAAGCAAGTGAAGGTAGTAGGAACGTGTGGCAAGTGATTATAGTTTGGAAGCGGACGCAATGTTACTGTGCTTCTGAAGGATGAGCTGTAGAGGGGCCGCTCTGACAGCTTGTAATCTCCCACAGAAACGTAAGACTCAGACATAATGGACTGCATCTTGTCTCTTGTTTCATTCTTGGTAATTATTCCTCTCATATTAGAGATCTCTACGAGACTGAAGCTCTGTGATTCATGTGTGTTGTTGATATTCTCACCTCTGTTTCACTCTTAAGGTTTGTTCTCTCACTTTTTCTCTTGTGTTTATTTTGGTCGTTGTTATAAACACAAAGACAAATAAGAAGAGACAAATCTAACATTTATGGATACTTTTTTTTTTTTTTTTTTTTTTTCTTATTTTGTCCAAAAAAAATGGATACTTTTTCTTACTACACACTACACACATGTAGAAGTTTCTACTACTTACTACATACATTTACACCATATTTTGGTAAAGCTACCCTCCATCAAAATAGAAACCATTACAAACAATGAACGGTCAAAGCCAAAGAGACAAACAAGGTCGTTGCTACAAAAGCTAAGCGACTGACACAAAACAGTAGATAATAAGATAGATTGAGACAATAAAAACTTTCAAGCAATAGTCATTTGAACCTTGACATGACATCTCATCAATAGAGCGAAGAATTGGAATGATGTTATGGAGAACAAAGAGCGCTAAAAGTGATCTCATGTTCAAGATTATAAACCTGAACTCAGGTCAAATGAATACAAAAAATAGAAAAAAAAATTGTTTATTAAAAGGCTTTTCAAATGGGCCAGACCAAAATAGGCCCAAGATGGGTTTAAATGAAAGAGATAAACCCTAAGTTTTTTCTGGTGATCTGGTGTGCGTCGGCTTCGTTTCTGAAAAATCTCCGATTTCGATGGCGACTCGGCTCAAGGAGTTTGTGAAGAAGTACGGAAAAGTGGCGCTAGGAGTCCATTTCTCGGTCTCCGGCGTATCGATTAGTGGATTTTACATCGCGATCAAGAACAACGTCGATGTGGAATCGCTCTTGGACAAGTACCAAATCCCTTGGTTCTCCAACAAGGAAAACCCTAACCATAGCCTCGATTTGAAGCTGGAAGAGGATGGTTCGGGCACGACTGACAACAAGACGAAACAGCTTGCCAAATCTGCCGGCGGAGCCCTAGCGCTGGCCGTTTTGTGCAATAAGGCGCTGTTTCCGATCAGAGTTCCGATCACGATGGCGTTGACTCCGCCGATCGCTAGATTCTTCAGGCAGAGGAAGATCCTCAAGACCGGCCAATGACTCTCTCCCTCCCTCTCTGGATTTTCACATTTGGGGATCTGTCTATGTTTTTCTCACCATCTGTATCGGTTCCATGCGTTTTGTTTGTTTGTTTGAAAAAAATTGGAATCTAATGATATGATCCTTCTAATAGGAAGAGAATGAGAAATTTGTTGGTAGAGATATTTTTAGTGTTGATCATCTCTTGATATAAAGGTTTGAATCCATGATTGCCAATATTAAAATGGGCTATTCACATTATTAATCATCATCCTCCTCCATGATTCTTCTTCTCAACATGTCTCTGTTTTGGGATTTTGCAGATACAAACAAACATATAGAGTAGAATAATATATAGAAAGTGCTAAGATTGCCAAAGTTTTTTTACATTTCGAGGTTTTCATGAATGGAGAGAGATGAGTTTTTGACATGATGATCGTGATACCAAAATTAAAAATATAAAAAGACATTTGTCTTGCTGGGGACATCTGATAAATTGGGAGATTAGTGGATGTCTTAGAAAGAAATAAGGAATTCGGGGATCAGTTAAGAAAATATCAAAGTTAGTAGTACGTGATGACTGACTTAAAAAGCCCAATAGTTCGGATTTTAAAGCCTGGCCCATAAAAAAATTGACTCTTTCGGAATCTGAAGTGATCGTCGGAACTTTTTTGTTTTTCTCAGTTTCGAGATTCGGAGGAGATCTGCAAAGGAGAAGATGATCGTTTGCGTCGCCGTCGTCGGTCACCAGGTGACTTTTTACATTCCGATGTCTGATTTGATCTGATATTCATGTGGATCTTCTGTTTTCTGACTTGGATCCAACCAACAGAACAATCCGCTTTACATACAGAGCTTCACGGATGCTGACGATGCCCTCAAGCTCCACCACATCGTTCATTGCTCCCTCGATGTCATCGAAGAGCGAGGTCCTTTATCCAATCCAATCTCCTTTTTTTTGTTCAAATTCTGAGGTTTTCGGAGTTTTTGCTCTGATTACACAACCTGGGTATATAAAGAGTGTAATGTAGTTTTATTTGTTGTTTCTTCAGTGAACAATCCCAAAAGGTCTGGTACGACTCTGAACGAGGCTTTTCTTGGCCTGCTCTATCCTACTGTGAACTACAAAGTGTAAGCACATTCTCACTCTCTCTGATGATTTTTTCTTGTGTAGAATACTCCTTTCATGGGTTCTTCTTCTCCTGCAGCTATGGTTACTTGACTAATACCAAAGTTAAATTTATATTGGTCACTACTGATTTGGATGTTAGAGACACCGATGTGAGAAGTGTAAGTATCTCTCATCTGCTCATACCCTACTTTCTTTGGCATTAAAACAGAGGTCTTTCCATCACATTCCATGCTTGTTCTCTATCACTTACTAGTTCCAATGTTCCTTAGCAAAGCCAAAACCCTGAAAGTTACCGTTGGTTCTTCGACTTGTGTTTGTTCGTTCTTCTCAGCCCCTAGATATGAACAAGTGTTTCATTCTGTGTTTTTCTTTTCACAGTTCTTCAGGAAGTTTCATGCTGCCTACGTGGATGCAGTGTCGAACCCATTTCATGTCCCTGGCAAAAAGATAACCTCAAGAACCTTTGCACAAACTGTAAGCAACATCGTTGGATCATACGGTTTAAACTGACCCTCTTATCAGTTGCATTTTGTACCTCAAACTTGTGTTTTACGGAGCATTGAGGAAGTCTCATTTCTTTATCATCATAAGTTGTTAATATCCACACTGAGATTGCTGTAAGATGACTTGTTGGCTCACATGTTACCTTGTTACTCGACGAGTTCCTCTCAACTTGTTTCGAATTTCGTTCTTGGAGTGGTAGACAGGACGCTTTCCCATCGCCTGAGCGGATGCACTAACAGAATAATTAGTTAGTTTCCAACGGCAATCGAATCACCACGTTTTCTTATCATAAACTAATGATACCATATATGGTGCGAAAATGCAACAACTTGATGATGATGCTCAGTGTCCGGATACAATATGCAGCGAAGTGCTGCTGTTAATTTCTTAATTTGTTGGAAATTAACCTTAAGTTTCTCATATCTCTATTTAAAACGCACAAGGCAGATTATAATTGCTTTACTGGGTTTGACTTCTCCATAGATGGTTTTTTGCGGGTCTGGTCTGGTATGAATGTCTTGGGAGAGAGAAGACGGAAGGAAAAAATCACTTTGTTACCATTTCTAGAGTGAGAGAGCGAGAGGACACAAGAAGAGAATGCGTATACACAACCTGGGTATTGAATGGAATTCAGGGAATCGTAAAGCTGCTGGTGAAAACTGTGATACAAGAAGCAGCAAAGAAGGGAAAGATGAGATGCTCTGATCTTAAGTAGATTGGCCAAGGGGTCTGCCACCATTCCCAAGAGCTGAGTCAGAGGGCCTTTTGGTCTTGCACTATGCCAACAGAAACTACCCTTGGCTCCAGATTCAATATTCCCAAGTCCATATTCATTCCAAATTCCGTAACTAGTCTATAGACATAGCTGTATTGATTAACTGTGTGAGCTGCAAATGCTAGTTTCGTTTGCTAAGTGTGTTAGTAGGCGTCAACTGGAAAAAGAATGATGAAGATTAATTATTGTTAATCTGTCGCTGAAACTCTTTGGTTTGGTTTACGCAACAGAAACTTAAAAGTCCAAACGATGTGAATATGAGCATGAAGAGTGATGTCTAGGATTTGTTTACTTGGAGTGTTCTGTACAAAATGCATATAAACGGAGTACATACACAAAGCGTGACAGGTTGAGCCAATTTTGTAGAAGAAGCCAATATACAAAGTTCTACCTTAAACATAGAGAAACCAAGAACTGAGAGAAGACTATGAATTCACTCACGACTGCAGCTGGGGAATGGAGACCAAGAAACGGGACCACATCAACGTGCAGCCAGGTCTCTACGGCTGATCCCACCACTGCACCTGCCACTAATCCTCCCGCTGTTAACGCAGCTGCTTTCCCTGCACCAAGACAGATAACAACATCAGAGGTGCTCTTGCTTGTGGTGAGCACAGAAGAAGATGGAAGTTATCATTACCTAGCTTGACGTTTTTTTTAGTCATGAAGTATAGAGAGGCTCCAAAGCTACTGGCCAGTATCAGTCCGGGAACATCAGCACCGGCATAAGGCATCCCAGAAGACTCTAAGGAACTCCCATTAACGTAAGTCAAAACCATCATAGCTCCATAGACACCAGCTTGTATACCGAGATCGCTAGTGGATGGCATATCAACAGAGACAGGTGGATTCTTCATCCACTGAGAAACGGAACCTGTTCCCAGAGGGTTACTGGATTTAACATCAGCGTAGCGTATGTTGTTGCTCACAACTTTTCCTGCTCGGCGTTGGTTGAGGCTCTGCATCAGCAGCATATCATATGCAGCCTCAGCCTGAGAAAAAAGAGAGGCAAGATTACAGTGAGGCACAAGAACAAGAAAGTAAATATTTCCATGACTGATGGAGTTTATTCAAGTGATGGTTCCCCCGCAAAGCTAGAATTTAGAGAGAGAGAGATTCATTTTGATTTGGAAGCTAAAACTCCCCATTATAGTAATGGAGAAACCTAACCAAATTAGCGAATTGGTTGACACTAAAAGCTGAAATTGAGAAATCCATTAGAGGATGAAACCTAGAAAACAGCACCTGAGAGATGGCGTTGGGGTCGTCCTTACGGGAAGCAAGGATCGATTTCTTGGCGCGAAGTATTTCGTCGAAGGAAGCTCCTTCAGAGACACCGAGAACCTTAAGCGCCGTCTCTAGAGACATATCGAACGGCGGAGAATCGTCGGCGCGAGAACTAGCTCTAGGCGCAGCGCATCGTCGCCGTGTAGGTAGGAGAATCGCAGTGGAGCGCCACAGCTGAGTCTTACCGGAAGGAAATTGGAGCTTTGTAGGGAGATACAGCGGATGTAGAGGAACATCGGAGGAGGCTGAGTTAAGGCGGTTGGGTCGGGCGGCGGAGAGAGCTGCGGTTGCCATTTCTTTCTTCTTCTTCTTCTTCTTCTCCACCAATTATTAGAAAAAAAAAAAAAAAAAAAAAACTTGAGGTAATAAACTGTTAGATTCGAGGGATTTATGATCTTTCGAGTCTAAGTTGTACGGCTTGTACCATAGCCGTCAGATTGGAACGGCGGACGGTAGATAGACCTATACTAACGATTATTTTTGTGTCAAACACATAAATTTGGCTCCTTTACACAATTAGAAGCGTGGAAGCAAAAGAAATCATCATTTTTTTCCTTTTCCCCTTTTTGCACTTACCTATATTATTTCATTATTGGATAATTGATAACTACGTCGAATGGATAATAATATGAAAATAAAATCGTCTAACGCCAAAAGTATAATATAATCATAATACATATACATAGAAATATATAGCTACTAACTACACAAAATATATATATTGCATGTCCACATATTATAAATTATATATCGACATCTGGTTAACGTCACATTCATTTAGTTCTGATACATCGTTTTTCGGATCCGACTTTGACCACCGTTGTTCGATACTAACTGGTGTTGAGCAAAAAATATTCAAAAAACTATTTTTGTTTAACTATTTTTATAATAAAAATATTTTATATAAGAAAAATTTTCAAAAATACCTTTTTTCAAATACTATTTTCAAAAATACCACTTTTCAAAGTTTATAAAAAGGCCACTAAAAATGTTTAAATTTATCAGAACATGTGTGTAACAAATTACTTTTATATGTGTGTAGAATTGTATATATATTTCACAAATACCGTATAAATTCCTTATAAAAACCTTTTAAACCCTTTTAAACTTCGTAAAACCTTATAAATTATTTGGATCGAATCTTCCATTAATAGTTATTATCTAGAATTATACACTTTTAAAAATCATTTTTTATATTTATGGTATTTTTGGAAAAATAAAACTTTTGTACCATTTTTGAAATTAAAAAGAAAACAAAATTTTGGCATTTTTAGAAAATAACTAAAAATACAGGTATTCAAAAGTATTTCTCTAAAATTTTCTGGTTTTATTTTTTTCATATCTTCAAATATAATTTATTGATGATTTTTTTTTTTACTTTTATTTTAATTTTGAAAAAAAAAAATTTAAAGAATTATAAGAAAAATGTATTAGAATGTGTTTTGTCATTATATAACATATATGAGATTAAATAGAATAATATTTCTTTCATATTTTGAAAATTAAAAAAAAAAAAAAAAAATTTTGAATGTTTTTTGGGTCAATATCGGCAACGATGGTCAACACCGGATTCCGAAATAAAATGATTGTGATGTTGATCCCATGTCGACATTAAGTTGATATATGTGTGCATGCAATAGATATAGTTTATGTAGTTGGCTGTATATTTCTATAGTTGAGACTTGAGATGTGTAGTCATATACTATGTTATACTTCGTCTAGCTGACTATCGTTTTTCCTCGTAATATTTATGTTATTTTTTTGGCATATAATTTATTTGCGGTCCATGTCATTCTTTTTTTTTCTGTCGATCAATTCCATTATAAGAGCACTTTCAATGGTAAGAACTCCTCATGGGTTATTACCAATTATTTATAGTATAAATTTTGCAAATTCAAAAGTTTATAAACTCATTAAGAGTTCTTAAAATTTTCCTTCTCCAGAGTAAACTATGGGCATGGTCGCGGGTAGATATATGTTCTTTCTAATGTAGGTTGCTACTGATGTTCTGGATAACACAACATTGGGGAAAATTTCACTTTTGGAACATTTCTCTAAGAATTAAGGACGGTTACGTTTATGTCTAATTTTTTAGGTTTGTTCTCCATTGTTTTCCTTGTCTCCTAATCTATTTTTGATCTGTTAAGATTGTTGCTGGCATGCAAAGGCATCCTCGTTAATCTAAAGACATAAATTTAATACAGTATTAGACATTCTTTCTAATTCATTGTTTGTATTATTTTATTTTCAGTTTTATTCGGTTTTGTTTAAATTTGTTTATCCACAGTTCCAACATTACTTAGGTTAGACGTCTTTAGGCATGCTTTCTTACTATTGAAGAACATTAACATGTTACTTTGTGTTTTTCCAGCGATGTATTTGCCAATTCCCCCTTCTTCACTTCAGCAGATACAGCTGGAATATTGGGCTCAAGGTTAGCTTCCATCATTCACAAGAATCTAACTTCAGTTCACAATTTTTAGCTCTAAGAGTTTGTACTTCTTAGGGACAATGAGGAGTATAAGGAGACAATTGTCCAAGCTGGGAGAACCTATGAGGTAATATGTTCTCCTCGTCTGATTGTTGTATTCTCTAATACACGGTGGTCATGTATTCGCATGAATGGAAGGTCTTCTTCTCTAATGGTTAGAAATATGACCACCGTGATGCGTTCTCTTACGTCTCCTTCCAACAATAAAATCACAATCTCCGTCGTTGTCTTGTGAAGTTTCTTCAAATCATCGTGGACTTTTCTCTTTCTGTAATGTGACTTGGAAAGCCCAGACGTGGATTATCCCTAGAACGTAGTGAATACAACAATCCAAATGGTACAGATCAAGAAATTCCTTGCTTTAAAAGAGAGACGAAGTATAAGAGAGAGGGAGCATCGAGAGAGAGAAAAGAATACAAACAAACTATAGTATGTTCATGGCAGCAAATGTTTATGAAGTTCTAATGATGTCTCCCAACAATGGGTTTATGGTTTTATCCTTGTACAAAGAAATGATGAGACATGAGTAAAATCCACCTTCATCTTTCACTTTCAGTTTGAGGGCTCCGGCTCCACTACTGTGGTATGCAATCCACTTTATATCAAAGAGTCTTTGACAGCGGAAAGAAAAGACCCACATGAATAAGATATTCACATTAATGAAAGCAATGGAAAAATGGGATGACAAAGGATACTAAATTCACTTTTGTCAGCCGCAAGATGTTTTTATCACCCTACCTTTTTGAAGAAAGTTGAATATGAATTATCCCAAACAAGTTTGTAGTTTCCAGCCATTAGGGTAGAGAAGTTGCCCTGCAAAAATTAACCACATAGGTTCCCCAACACAATTACCTTAGAGAACACAACAACAACAATAACAAAAGTACCCCAAAAGCTTCCCCACAAAATGCACATGGGCACTCTCACCTGCTCAGCTTCAAACCGACGGTAAGGTAAGATCAGCTGAAATAAGAAAAATTCATTATCAAGCCCTCAGAAATTCACTTGATTGAGTAGATATCTTATAGAGTGAGGAATCGAATGGATATTGCAAAGTATAACTACCGTATGGAAACTAATGGCCAGACTCACCGTCTTTTCCCCTGATGCACTTATATACTCCACGCTAAATCCAATATCCTGGGAAATAACAACAGAAATATAAACGGAGGACAAACCACAAAAGCTGAGAACCTAACTTAGGTCCCATCCCATGTCTAGAAACAAAAGGTGAGTCTGAGCAGGTGAATTTTTGCAGCTGACAAAAGTGAATTTTATGAATTTCTACTTGGTTGCAGCTGGAACCAAGTAGAAAAATCTACATGTTTAACAACTAATTTACTCTTATGCAAACCTGAATCTTCTGCCATAATAAGCAAAAAACTTTAAGGTTAATTATTTGACAACCTTCTTAACTGACCTATGAAAGGTACTGATTCACGTAAACACACAAAACTTCATTACCTTGTCTAATAGATTCGATGAAGAGGTTCAACGTAGACATTTACTTAGATACTTGGAGTATAATTGTCATGATGTTGCATCATTACAATGATGATGATGCTGATGATGTAAACTGTGTAAGCAAATATATATCAAACCACTCTTTATCTCAGTGAGCCACGGTACATCTTAGGATTTTGCTTTGTCCAAAACTCTAAACGACTACTAAGTACAAACACCTGACGTCCAATATATAGTGATTCAAATCAATGAGGATATTATATAGATAATTATTAGAGGGAGATTAATTAGGCTCAATCATAGGGATAAGATACAACCTTACGCTTTGCCAATTCTTTTTCAAGAGTGAGACAAGGAAGTTAACACTCATATGTACATTCTGGAAAAGCTGCTTCTCTTTCACGAAAAGGTTATCAACAACAACACCCATACATAGAACTTTCTTTAACTGAAACTTCAGAGTGGCTCATTCAGATAAAGTTGTGATTTGAATCAGCTGTATATATTTGCAAAGAGCTCGAAAACGATCTATGTGAATGTCTGCGATGTATCTCTTCAATGAATCTATATGACAAGGTAATGAAGTTTTGTGGGTTTACCTAAAGCAGAACTCTCATATGGCAGTTAAAAAGGCTGTCAAAGAGTTAACGCTGAACCTTATAAAGAATTAAGAGTCTGGTTTCGTTTGCAACTAGAACCAAGTGGAAAGATCAGCATGTTTTACAACTGTTCTACTCATATGCAAACTTGAATCTTCTATCATAATAAGCAAACACTCATTGTCTAAATAAGAAGACACCCATCTTCATCGTTTATTTGGTGACTTACTAGTGTTGAAAACTTTCTCGTTCATCAATCAAGCCAAAAAGAATATATTTCACACAAAGAGCTCGAAAACGATATCATGACAATTATATTCCAAGTATCTATATGAATGTCTGCGATGTACCTCTTCATTGAATATTTATGATAAGGTAATGAAGTTTTGTGAGTTTACCTGTACCTTTCATATGGCAGTTAAGAAGCTGTAAGAAAATTAAAGTTAAAGATTTTTAAAGAATTACTATTATTCACATATAGGGTTTAGTATTCGCGTTTGAAGAAATACTGTTTACATATATGATTTACTGTTCATGCTTTAAAAGTTACTGTTCACGTTTGAAGAATTACTGTTCACATTTAGGGTTCACTGTTCATTTATTAGGAATTACTGTTCATTTATTAGGAATGACTGTTCATGTATTAGAATTACTGTTCATTTATTAGGAATGACTGTTCATGTATTAGAATTACTGTTCATTTATTAGGAATGACTGTTCATGTATTAGAATTACTGTTCACATATAGGGTTACTGTTCATATTTAGGGTTTAGAGTTTAGGGTTTAGGGTTTAGGGTTTAGGGTTTAGGGTTTAGGGTTTAGGGTTTAGGGTTTAGGGTTTAGGGTTTAGGGTTTAGGGTTTAGGGTTTAGGGTTTAGGGTTTAGGGTTTAGGGTTTAGGGTTTAGG